TTCATGCGTTTCCGCTTTCGCTCGTAATGGATACTTCCCACTGATTTTCGAATTACCGGGTACCCAAGTACCATTGATTGCATGAGTCAATTTAATGCCAATTTAAAAAAAGAAAAAGAAAAACTAACGATTATTATTTTATATATATATATATACATTGACGATTAAACAACAATTTTTGTCTTCTTTTTCTTTTTGTTTTAATCGCGAATATTAATCGATTAATCATGAAATTTAATTTGAAATACTTGACACACATACACACAGGATGGATGTATAGTAATTAAAAATCAAATAAAGAGTATATACACATTGTCGATACACCTGTTATACATTTTACGAAAACAAAAAGTCAATCAATACGAATAAATTCGATGTGAATATTTTTGTATAATGAATAATAATGTTTTAATTCGTTATACGTTTAATCGTATCGAATTGAAATTTTGAATGCATGGATAGGATACTTGTAACGTTGTGTTAATTGATTAAATTTTAATTAATTGTAAAAAAAAGAAAAATAATTAAAACAAAACACGAATGAAAGATTATTACAAATTTTATTTGAAAATTTGTCGTTAAAATAAAATAAAACAAAAAATATGTGACAAACAACGTAGTCTACCGTCGTTTAAATCGTCGTAATCGTGTCGTCATCGTTGTACCCGGCTTACGTAAAAATTCAGTTTGACCTAGAAAGGCTAAAAACGCTGCACCGTGTATCCCACGTACATAAGTAGAAATATGAAAAGAAAGAAAGAAAGAAGAAGAAAAAAAAAGCAAAAAGCTCGACGGCTACGTTGCTGCTGCCGTTGGCCTTTGATGTCCTCGAAATGAGCTTTTTTAGAAAAAGCTTTTCCTTGCAGTACTCGACATCGATACTGCAACGAGGACAACAACTCTTAAATCACGATTTTACATAGTTTTTCTTTTTCTTTTTTTATTCTTTACTTTTGTCACACGAACGTTTATTTAAACGTACGATCAATTTATGTACAAGTATAACGAGTTGTACGTATTCTTTTTCTAAAAAAAAAAAAAAAAAAAAAAAAAAAACAACCATTTTAGAACCAGTTACGATCGAACCGATTTATTTCTAAAGTAATTATTTCTAGTTCGTCGAAAAATAGAAGTAAAAAAGAAAAAGAAAATAAAAAGGGATTTTTATTTTAATAATATCGACAAATGGGGGGGGGGAGGAATTTTTTTTTAATATTTATTTCTTTTTCTTTCCTTCTTTTTTTTTTTTTTTTTTTTTTTTTTAACACGAGTTAACTCGTGACCGGTTCCCAAAGTGTTAAAAACTTTCTCGGTTAAATAATTTTACCTTCGAACTCTCCATTGCGCAGGAACAATTAAATAATTATATAAAAATGATAAAAATACTAAAATCAGAACGTTACAATTTTTAATTTGAAGTATTAGGTGCATTATTCCCTGTATACATATGTGCAACTTTCGGAAGGTTTTGTAAACAACATTTAATAAAAGAAATTTTCTAGAGGACAATGACTCAGTTCAACGGTGGATTTCGAAGGGGACGGTACATAAATCATATATTCCGAGCTTTTTAACAACAATAGATATTTCTATCGATTAATTAACAATTATTTTAATATTCTAATGCACTCTCATTATATTTAAGATTTTTTAAGCGTATATACATTTATTTAAACATTACATACATTTTGACGTACTTTGAATATTAATTAATATTTCGATTATATGTTTTATTATTAGATAAAAATTTTACCCCTTCCCTCCGAAATCATCACTGCATAGGAACGTTAAAATAATTATATAAAAATGATAAAAATGATAAAATTAGAAGGTTACAATCTTAAATTTTATTTATTAGATGCATCATCCTCTTTATACACATGCGCAATGTTCGGAAAGTCATATAAACAATATTTAATAAAAGAATTTCAAGGAAGACGGTGCTCCGAATATATACTCAGTGCTTCTAAATTACTATACTCATATTATTCGATTAATTAACAATTAGTTTAAATAAATCTAACACAGTACACTGTACTTTACTAAAATATTTAATTAAATTGTATTAAGTTATTTAATTGTATTATATAAATTAAATTGTTTTAAGTTATTGTAATGTGAACGGTTGAGTCAAGATATTTATTTGTTTATTTTTTTAAACGAAATATATATAGTATTACTTATTTATTAAAATATAAATGTACTTTGTATATTACGTATTGAAGGGCTTGAAAGTTCTGAATCTAACATATGAAGGGCTGTTATAAAATTATACCCGTTATTTCGTGTATTACTGTTTTATGAGTTATATATATATATATATCTTTCTCTCTTTTGATAAATAATATTTTCTGATCTAAATTTAAATTCTTGATTTCCCCATTTTGCTTGACTATTTCCATCTGCCTGCAATCTTTCTCTCTCTCTCTCTCTCTCTCTATTTACGATGGTGGTGGGTCTAAGTACACGAACTGCAAACTTTTCTCAGCAATGTTAGTTTCATACGTTTTCCTCGTAATCGTCGTATCTCGAACATGCTACTACTAGTTCACCAAAAAGTTTTACTTCGTTGAAAAATCCTTTTTCGTTAAACGTTAAATTTTGTCTCGGATATTTTTCTTCTTCTTCTTCTTCTTAGTCTTCGTTTTCTTATTTTTCAGAAATTTGATGCAACTCTCGACGAGGAATATAACAAAATATATACGTTAAATGCATTTACAAATTTCGAGATATTTCGAAAAGAACGACTGAATCCTCCTCTTCCTTCCCACCCCACCCCACTCCACCCCTATTTGCAAATCGGTGCAGTCACGTTGAAAGAAAATCAAACAAGAAACTTTCTAACGATAATATTTTACTTTTACCATATACTTGTTCCTTTTGATTTTCTTTCGTAGGTTTGATAATAAACGAAAAAAAATAATAATAAAAAATAAACAAAACGAATCGAAGAAAGAAAAGAAAAATAAGAAAAATATATCAAACAAACCGACACTTCGTACCATCTGTTATATTTAAAAAGACAAAGATAAAAATAAGAATATAAGATAAACGTAAAGATTATTTTTAGTTGTTATCACAGTAGTTCTTGTCAAGAAAAATAATATACGGCCGAATCATTGTGATAAACAAATTTCAATAACCCTTATATCGGTTGTTCTCTTATTATATGTATTTTCTCAAAATCCGAAAAGTAAATCCAAAAAAAAAAATAAAGATAAAATTATTATCGAGACAATACAAAATTAGTTTTTGAAAAAAAAAAAAAAAAAAACAAAATCAAACAACGAAAAAACGTAATGGTAATATAAAAATACGATTAAAAATTAGGAATTAAAATTTGATTTATTCATTGTAAAACGTATTCATTATCTTTTTTTTTTTTATTTTTGTTTTTTTCTTTTTTTTCTAATAGATTCAGCAGCCCACATTCAATCTCGAGTATGGTGGTGGTGTCCCGAATGACACCATGATTCTGCTTGCAAAATGCACTAAGAAGAATTATCAAAGAATTTATCAAAGTAAAATAGTAGAAAAATAAAACGAATAGGATAGAAAGGGTTTGGTAAGAAAATGAGAGAAAGAGAAGGAAGAAGAAGAAGAAAAAGATGAAACAGGAGGAGGAGGAGGAGGAGGAGGAGGTCAAAACTCGGAAGAGCAGATGATGAGACACAATTAATTAAGAATGTGACAATGAGAGATGAACGTAGGTGTTGGTTGCCGAGCACGCGCTAGTGTCAACTCGGCTTTATACGATTCGGTGCATAATTTGCAACGAAGAGGAGGAAGAGGAGGAAGAAGAGATGGAAGAGGAGGAGGAGGAGGAGGAGGAAGAGAAGAAGGTTCGCATTTCAGGGCTGCTATGTTCTCTTATCTATGATTATCTTCATTCGTTATATTCACCAAGGATAAAAAAAAGACGCGTTTGCTCGATATCAAAATCTCTAATATTTTTTTTCTACTTATTAAATACACATTATTTTGAATTTTATAAAATTAATACAACTGGAAAAAAAATAAATAATAATTGTTGTTAATATGAATTTTCAAAAAAAAAAAAAGAAAATGTAGATCGAGAATATAATTGATTCATTTCAAAATTACATTTGAAGATATGAAATTAAACCGGTACTTTGGTGATTTGCTTGCACTTAAGATTAACTCGAGTATCCCCCATCAGAAGGGCCATCGTTACATAAGTGGTTCTAATGAAGATGAATTTCAAATGATTTTGCACAAAGTTTTCCACTTAGTCGAAATGTTAAAAAGTTTCTTAATAACTTAAACTTTCGTATTTTATTTTATTGACTTTAAGACAATAATAAAAAAAAAAAGAACATATAAATTAAACCGATATCTTAAACTGACCGTTTAACAAAGTAAAGTGAAAAGTGGTGCAATTTAATCCTTGAGAAAAAAAACTGAGAAAACATTTAACTTTAATCTCTTATTAATAATAATTTCTTTATATATAATAGAACGAGAGTGTTTAACATAATTCAAATTAATTTCTTTAATAATCAACGATTATACAATGCAACACGATTGAAAACAAAAATATTATAATATTTTATTTATTACTTAATATATAAATAATTCAATTAAAAAACAGAGAAAACGTGTAACTTTAATCTCTTATTAATAATAATTTCCTTATATATATAATAGAACGAGAATGTTTAACATAATTCAAATTAATTTCTTGAATAATCAACGATTATACAATGCAACACGATCGAAAACAAAAATGTTATATAAAAATATTATAATATTTTATTTATTACTTTCGTAATATATAAATAATTCAATATTGTTAATAAGCATATATTTTGGGGTAGGGAAGGAAAAAATTTGGATAAGTTTGAAAAAGAAATAATAAAAACCGTTTGAATATCTCGGATCTAAGGTTGAGTACCAAGAATTGTTGCAATTGCGAGTTAAATGCACTTAGATGGGCAAGGGAAAGGAAGTGGGGAGTTACTCTAGTTAACGTAAATCGTACACCATCCTCTAGTCTTACACGACTAGACGTAACTAGACGATCGACTCTGTTTTAAAAGACAACGATTATCAACGATCTGGGCGTTGTTTGTTGGTTGGTTGATTGGTTCATCGTAAAAGTGAAAAATAATATCGGATATAAGTATCAAGGTTATTTTCTCTATTTAGTTGAAAACGATTCAAAAGTGTGAATTGAATTTTTTTTACGGGAATTTCAAGTAAATCGAAAGAGAGAGAGAGAGAGAAAGAGAGAAAGAGAAAGAGAGATAGAGATAGAGAGAAAAAAAATGCCGGAGGAAAATGGAAAACAATTTATTTCTTCGAGACTTCAAAAATATTTGAAGGAAGCACCGTTCTTCTGTAAGATCATCGAACTTGTAAGTGTTGTTGCTCTTATAGTTGATTTGATCTCACAATTCGTTTCAATTGATCTACGTTTGATGATATGATGCATTTTGTATCATTAAATACAACGATGAACTAAGTCAACAAATGGAAAACATTTGTTTTTACCTGAACGAATACATTTTCGTCAGGTGTGAAATATATATAATACGTTATTATAATATAAATCATTTAACATCGCGAATAATTTAATGGATAAACGTTATTATTATTATTATTATTATTATTATTTTTGAATATTAATTATTTATTAAAAATAATAACGCGAAATTATAAACTCAATAAATTTTCATTGGACGCGTATATGAATTAATGAAGTTCAAAGGATTCAAATTATTTCTCTCGAAACGAGATATTATTCAAATGAATTATATCATAAAATTAAATTTTGTTGACTTTAGTCGAATGTTGTAATTACCAGTACATGCGTTATGTAATTTCTTATCGTTTCAAAATTTCCATTAACCAAGCAGTTGGATTTCTGTTTTTTTCTGTTTCCTTTTTTTGTTTTTCTTTTTAGATTTTATGCGTTATATCGGTGGGTTTAATAGTCAACCCCTTCAATGAAATTTCTCAAAAGGATATGAAAAAAGACATAAACGATGTTGCTATTGTCTACGTATCACTCTGTGGTTATATTTTGATAAATGCTATCATCATCCTGTGCCATTTACTTGGTGATCGTATGCCAAAGAAAACGGTAAGTTAACAGTACTTTTCTCTTATTCTTATTTTTACTAATTTCACTCGAAGATAACGTGTATTGTATTTGTTAAAAAAAAAAGAAAAAAGAAATAGAAAAATTACATAAATAGTCGTCACGTTAATCAACGACGAATGACCTCCTACTAATGTAAATTATTCAGATTCGATTAAGAAATGTCCTACTTTATCCGGAAACCCATAATTAATCGTATTTGTTCGAATAACAATAATTTTTTTTTTTTAAAGGACGACCGATCTAAATTCGGAAAATTTCCAAGGACTATATCCCTAAAGATTTAATCTAAACGAAAAATACCTATGCAAATGTAAAAAAAAGTCGAATTAATTAAAAAAAGAAAAATAAACGATGTCGATTGATACAAAATTCTATTTTAAAAGAGAGAACAAAAAAGAAACTATGTAAGCATAAAATTATTTTGTATTTTACAGGCAATAACATTTTCCGTGATGGGGGCGGTACTCTGTCTTACTGCCGGCCTTGTCCTGATTCGTAGTTGGACAGAATATCCGAACAATTTGATATTACCAAATGTCGAACAATATAGCCATCAGATGATTTCAAGTGCAGTATTCGCTATTATTGCATCAATTTTCTTCTCATGTGACATTTATTTCATTAACAAGTATTATTAAACATTTTTTAAATGAAACTAAAAAAACACACACGAATCTACGATTATTGGATATTCAAAAAACAAAAATGACATATTAAACAATTTGTTTTCTTTATGTATCAGAATTTAATTGATTCGTTAACTTTGGATTTGACTACGAGAGGAAGTATCATGTTTTAACACAAAATAGAGAGAGAGAGAGAGAAAAAAAGAATTTCGATTCCATATTCAACGTTTTCAAGGATTTAACGATATTGAAACAAAATTTGAGTTATTGTTCGAATTATTCGAATAATATTCTATTATTTTGTTTTTACATGTGAAATATGCGGAAATATTTTTAAAGCGAACTTATCGAAAATATTATAATATATACGAAGCTTTGTTAACACGAATCGATAGTATTTGTTATTATCTAGTTTCAAGAAAAAAGAAAATAAAAAAACAAACCATAAAAGATCAACGAAATATCGATAAGACGACTTGATTTACATATGTATATCTGTGTATGTAAGTAGTGCGACAGTGAAACGAGTCGAAGTATGGTCAGACCGATAAAAGGTGACCACAATGAAGCTCATGTTTACATGGATCGTGATCTATTTCTACAAACACACATATATGATACACAAAAAGATATAGTACAAAAATTTAACGTTAAAATATAATTCGATATATTACAAGAATAAAAACGTAATAATTAAATTTATTTGAAATCGAAAAACCTAGAATCGTAGTATTGGATTCTAAATAAATAAATAAATAAAAAAAAGAAAAAAAAAATTCAACATTATAATTTGTTAATAAATTAAAAAAGAAAAATGTGAGATATTTGGTGGATGATGCGTTTGAAATTTAAAGACTTTACAATGAAGTAAAATATAGTAAAAGTTTATTTGATGATTCTCGTTGGATAGTTTAGAACTCTGAGAAGATAAAAAGAAGAATTTCAAGATACTTGCTTGTCGGATACTGCAACTTTGAAAACCGAGCAATTCTACGCTCTTATCGATCCAAACGTCGAAACATGTCTTCTGCAATATACATACTACAGCTATATATTTCGAAAATATAATACCTGTCTTTTCTAGAAACAAGTTTATCCTTTCTCTTCGATCGATTAGAGAAATTTACGACTATTATAAATACAAATATGTCATGCGTTGTGACTTATTTTTTTTGTTTTTTTTTTTTGTTTTTTTGTTTAGAATCCTAGAAATTTATCGATACTTTCGAATAAAGACGATCGAAGATAAATTTTTATCTAATTGAAACATTGTTTATATCTATATCTATAATTCATAATTGTACATAGGCAAATGTATAAACAAGAGATATATTGTATCAGAAGGTAAGATCTATAATTACCAAACAAGAAACACGAAACTCGGTCGTAGTCAAGTGCGTTGATAAATTGTTATTAAAGATAATAATACCGTGACGTCTTCGACCTCGGCAAAGAATTTTCATATTTTGAAAATTTAATGTAATAACAGTGATTTTAATGATCTCTACGGTAGAATCTTGATTTTTCATTTAAATTTATTTCGAAACGTGATTTTTGAAAAGAACTGTTCGAAAGATTGAGTATAATAATCATCTCTCTCTTTCTCTCTCTCTCTCTCTTTCTCTTTCTCTCACACACGCACACACTCACTCTCTCTCTCTCTTATTAAAACAGAACAATTTTTCATTTATAAAAACATTGAAAATCCGACCCGATTTATTAAACAATACAATTTCATCGATAGATGACGCAATAGTACTTTTTTGAACATTCGAGAGATGCTTTCACGTGATTGTAACATTTGAAAAATATATAAAAAAAAAAAATTAAGAGAATTTACCCAAAAAAAAAAAAAAAAAAACCCCAAAGAAGAAGAAAAAACACACAATTTGTCGCCTATTAAAAAAACTCACCACTACCGATTTCCACTGACAAAAAAATATCCCAAAAAAGTGAATAAAACGAACACCACTTGTAACAATGTTTGTTTGACACTGATCTCACGAAAATATTGAACACTTTTGTCGCATCATCGGAATACTGTTAACTCTTATTTTATTCATATTTGGAATTAAAAGAAAAAAAAAGAAAGGAAGAAAGATTGAAATAAAATTCTATGCAGATGTAAACCGGTAAACGTCGTTGCGTCGACTGACGTCCTCCCTCGAGCGGCACCTCGAACGACCCTTCTTCGTATTTTCCCCACCCTCAACCCTCCAACCCCCACCACGCCGCTGACAGCGCCACGTTCCCGTTGCCGCCGCCCACATTTTATTCCATTTTAAAGCCAACCAAGAGTCCACCCAACTTTCTCCAATCCTTTTCGATTCGTCCTTTTTTTTTTCTTTTTCTTTTTTTTTCCAATAACTCGATGATCTCCTATCAACAATTTTTTTTCCCTTAGAGAAATTCTTCGATCATATTTATTTATACATTATTTTGTCCAAATTTTATGCCATCATAACAAATTATGATACTTTATTTACATAGAAATAACAGGGTCATTTTTTAAATTGTTCTTTCATTAGAAAGAAAAAAAAAAAGAAAAAAAGAAAAACAACTATCTTTACTTTTAATTAATCCGACATTTCCTGACCACTCTCTTTCTGGTAATTAATTTTCCGAGTGTTTTCTAATTAAATATTATTTTTCATGCTACACATAGAAGTTGGTAAAGGTAGTATCCCAGTAGGGAAAGCTTCATCCGGAGCCATTGCATTAACCCTTTGACTACGAACAACGCCTATAAGCGTAGGATACGAAATGTTTTTTCAATAATGGATGAAGGAAACAATATTGTCATTAGTTTTAACGTTTTAACTGTATAAAAACATTATATAAATAAGAAAATGCATTATTAATAAAAAGGGTTTTGATAAGTTATCAAAACTAAGTTTTATTTCTTTTGATGTTCAAATTCCCTAAGATACCATTTTATTAAGAATTTTATTTTTGGACGAGAGAAACAACTAATTGCATTGTTAATATTTGATATAAAATCGATAGATCGTTTCTAAATTAATCAATGGTGTATTTGATTTTTATGCAAGATCAGTAAAGTTATTTCTAATTTATGGTCAGTAGCGTACAACCAATGAAGATTTCTTTCCTATCTTACTTTACTCTTTTATTAGTGTCCTTAGACCTATTATTATCCTTGCTTCGATTTTTTTTTCTTCTTCTTCTTCTTCTTCTTCATCATCTTCTGTTCGAAGGCATACTTTCTTGAAGATACGACCAACCCAGAAAATGAAGACATGATAGATACGTCTGAACTAGCCTGGATGCATAACATAAATCTTGATACTCTCCGGTAAAGAATTTGAGAAAGCGGTTAATTCATCGAAAGTCCACGATTCGTTATCGTTTCTTTCTCTCTCTCTCTCTCTCTCTCTCTCTCTGTGAAATTGATGGAGTATACATTTGTGAAATATCGATTATTACCCTCCCTCTCAGCCCCTCATCACTTTGTTCATTTTTTTTTCCTCCTCCCTGTATGAATATGAATATATATTCGCGATGTATGTTTTGATCAATAAATAGAGTATCTCTTTTAGAGATGTTTTAAAGATTAGTTTTTTTTTTTTTTTGTTAATATCAATTTTCTCAAACTTTCCACATACACACAAGCGCGTTATCAATTTAATTTACAATAGAATTAGTTTAATAATTGGTGCAATATGATACATCATAATTTATCCAATAATGCATCAATGAAACCAACTACGAGAAACTCATTGCTTTCCTCTTTTAAAACGTTCGATTTCTATATTATAAATACTTCATCAATTAATTATACTTTTTTCGTTAGATGTTTTTTTTTATTGCGATTATATAAATTCAAACATTTAAGTCGATGTTTCAACAACTACGATTAAATTCGATTAAATGAAATCGAATTGTTTAATTTGACAATAACTTCTATATGCATTAAAAAAAAAAAAAAAGAAAAAAAAAAACATTTAAATCGTATGTCGCGACAAGAACGGGGCTTCGTTGTCGTCCTAAGCGTGACCCTATTAAAGCTAGTTTGATTTTACACCCAAACAATTTGCAATGGCTTCTCCCAACTATTTCCACGTGATTTCAACGTCACGCGTCTTGCATTTTATCCGTTCGATCGTTTAAGGTAGTAGCCTACTCTAACGACCGGAATTTCGACGTTTTTTCATGAATATTTTTTTATTATATGAAAATAAAATGTAAAAAAGAAAAATATCCAATTGGTATACTGTTTAGCGTAGATACGAAAAAAATGCATTTGTAATATCCGTTTGAGAAGATATCAAAGAGAGGTCTCATCTATGGCGTGTGGCATTGAATAACGCGACAGATGTCAAAGCCACTTTTATCGACTTTTCATTGCTGACACGCAACTTTGAAATATATCCGATATATGCCATCGTAGTATACGCGACGAGTCTCGTTTTAGGAACTTTTAACTCGATTTCGGAGCACGTTCGAGAGAAATGGAAGGAGGACTAGCAACTTTAGTCTTTTAATCGAATTTTCTTTTCTTTTCTTTTCTTTTCTTTTCTTTTCTTTTCTTCTTTTTTTATTCTTCTTTATTTCTTTCGCGAACGGCTTTAAAGTAAATGTCAAATAACGAAGTAAACTCGCGAAAGTTGGGATAAAACAAAGTTACGAATAAATTGCATTACGCGCATCTCTTTTTCGAAAAACGCGCCAAAGTTTGAACGTTGCACCAACTATGACGACGACGACAACGACAGGCGAGTTTCTTTCCTGAATTTAATTCATCGAAATTCATTTCCATTTCATTAATTAACATGCAACGAAAAAAAAAAATGTTTTAAAAAAAAAAAAAAAAAAAAAAAAACAAGTACCCACGTTTTTCACGTGGACAACTTGTACAAATAATAAAACCGTTTCTTCTCTAATAAATCATTCAAATAACCTGATGGTTATTAATAGAATTGATGAAATATAAGCACCTAAAAGTAATTCGATATAATACGTCTATTAATGAGAATATATTATGGCACCTGTGACGCAGTTAACGTTACAACGCAACTTGGCATCATCGTTTTCTTATGTTAGAATAAATGACGCTTATAAATTATTCGATAATGTTTTATATATTATCGAATTTCTACAACAGATATGTTTCATCGATTAAACCTCATAAATATATAAACATAAATTTGTGCTTATTTTTGTACGTACGTTAACGTATATACAAAAATTGTTCATTTAAGGAAAATAAAAATTACAATATTATAAAAATAAAATAATTCGATGAAATTCTTTGCATATAAAAGTGTAAGTATATGACTACCTATATGTATGTTTGTAACATTGGCTATCACCAACAGGAATAAATCATTGGCATTTCATGTCCAACTATATTTAGAAAGGAAAAGGGGCGCCTCTAATTTACACTCTAACAATAAACGGCATATTCGTGCGTTAACGAGCGTAACAGCACGCAATACCATTAAACCGAATAAAACAAGAGTACTGCTGTGTCTATCGGAAGTCATTGTACTAACAGATGTAAACGTTCCTGTGTCTCCAATTTATAACGCCTCCTTCTAAATTTCCAAATTGCTTGCATTAGATCGCAAACGTTTGGACGAATTACAAATACGTTTTCATCTATCTAACTATAAGAACTTAAGGTCATTTTTATCGAGAGAAACTGCATTGGTGTTTATTTTTTGTTTCTTTTTCTTTCTTCTTATCGTTATACAATGTATAAGAGCGTATAATGAAATTCTTTTACATGAACTTATAAAATATTTATAAAGGAAATAAGACGCGTCAATATAGACGAGATAAGACGCAGGAGACGATTCACGTAACTAAAGTCAAGAATCGCGATATATTTATAATGAAATGTCTCAATATCGAATGTCCCTGATATGAAAACAAAAACGAACCGCACGATTAGTATTATTCTGTTCTAGACTAAACGAAGCAGACTTATCATACAATTAGTCTGTTGCAATGAGAAAAGAATATATTTGTAATAATAATACTGTAAACGTGAAACTAAAATCTAACAATAAGATATTTTCTAATGATCTGATCATAACACGTATTTGAATTATTGAAACCACTTGGGAGTTCCAATTGAAATTCAAATTTAACTAAAACATTCGTTCTTAACAGCTAATTCGACGAAAATATTTATTCTTTACAGTTATTCTCGATAAATATCTTATCGGGCTTCGTTCGTAACTATCGATTCCGTAACCGTTTTGGAAATCCCGTTTGTTTTGACGTTTTGCGTAAAAATTTATTCTTATCGACATAAGTATAAATGATTTATAAGCGATAATGGGATTAACGATAAGTGTAACGCAAGAGTAAGAATTTTGCTTGCTTTAATAACTGTGGCATTTTTCTTGAAAATAAATGACTCACCCTTGAGAAAGATTAGGCTGTTGTATGATACTTTCAGCTATAACGTCCAAATCATTTTTCACGTGATCATCTAACGTATTTAGGGTATCAAAACTAGAAGTTACTTTGGTTGGGCTCTCCTTAAAAGAAGAAAAAAAGAAAGTCAATTAAATGTATTCAAAATTATATAACAAATTATTATATAATATTATTCATTAGATAATTGAAATTAATCAACTTCTACGAATATGCACTTTAAATTATTATGAATAAATATTTATCTAATGTAAGCCAAAAGATTAAAATAATTTATCCTTCAATTGTATATTGTTAAACGTACTTCAAAAAATTCATCCTCTATTGCTGCATTTTGTACTCGGGCAATTTGAATCTCCGGTATCTCATATTTTTCACTTCCATCGATAATTGTAGAATTGTTAAACTCGTAAAAACTTTCATCATTCTTGGAGACCTCTGTCTCAATCGTTTCTTCCGCATTTTCTGACGCAACAATTAGGAATAGCAGTCCACTGGAAAATGAAAATATATTATAATAACGTTTAAATAATATAAAATAATATATATCAAAGAAAGAGAAAATATAAATGAAGAAAGGTTATGTGACTTTGAATGATCAAAAAATTGAAAAAAAAAATCTTATAAAGGTAACGAAAACTGTGATAATTAATTCGGTACACATGTAATATGAACCTTCACATTTTCAATCTGGAGTAGCAAATATATTTATACGTATAAATACTTGTTAAATAAAATATTGAAAATTTGAATAAACCGGTCAGAAATCTTACCTTGACACGACTGATATAAAGAGTAGTGCCCAATATACGAACGTCACACAAAACTTCATCTTCTTTTTCAGAGAAATCTCATAATACCGACAGCATTAAAATGTGCGCCGATCGAACATCCATGTTTTTTTTATGAATACACAATCATCATCACTACCACCACCACCACCATACACTCAACCACCACTATCACACCACTGCAAAAATCTGACGTGGTGCTATCGAAAGAAAAGCTTCCGGTGTTGAACGTGTCACATCAGGAATTCGATAACTTCGAAATATATTCACCGTGGCAAGAGATTGTATTTTATAATGCGATCATTCATCATCCAAGGCTCGAAAACTCTACGGGAGAGCAGCATTTCGATCGAGACAGACGCCGACGTGTAAAAAATGGTCTCTAACTACGTTCCAAACAGCTGATCGCATTCGGGCATGCGCACACCAATCCCCACTCTACCCACCTAGCAACGCGAGCGCGAAATTGATATATACTTTTTCGATAAACGTATTTTTGTTCTCATTTGATATTTATAGGATACACTTTTAAATATAGAAATAGAAATTTTAAATAAACAATGGCATTAAACAATGTTTGCATTTGTGCATAAGAAACATTATTGCATATTGAAAATGGTGCAACTCTATCAAAACTCGTTTAATTACATAACGATATATATCGATACAACATCGATATATTTCTACCCGCAAGTTCGACGTTTGGTAGCATTGACAATGGAACATATCGATAAATATACGTCACACACGTCAACACCGGTTATTCTGAACTTTCATATCTTCCCTCATATCTTTCATAATTTTATACTTTATTGTTATTCTATTTAAATATGGAATATATATACAAAATACCTTTCTTCGTTTTAGAAGTGCCCAATTTAAAACTTAAAAGGCCATCATGGTTCGTTAAACCTAGTGCGATGATAGTTTTTTCCTTCGTTCTGTTATCATACTTTCTGGTGACAGGAGGTTAGTTCTGAAAATATGTATTTTTCTTTTTTAATATAAAGTTGTTGCGTGATAATTAAAAAAGAGGTCTATATTTATAAAATTAATTCTAAATAATATTACCAAAAAAATATATGTTGTAGGTATAATTTACGATGTTATCGTTGAACCACCTAGTGTAGGATCAACAACCGACGAGCATGGTCATACGAGGCCTGTAAGTTAAAAAATTACAAATCTTATAAAAAAAATATAATTTTATTAACTATTATGTATTTCTTTTGCAGGTAGCATTTATGCCATATCGCGTAAATGGTCAATATATTATGGAAGGTTTAGCATCCAGTTTTTTATTTACTTTAGGTGGTTTAGGGTTCATTGTACTCGAACAAACGCACAGTCCATCCACACCTAAACTTAACAGAATTCTTCTAATATGTGTTGGATTCATCGGTATAATTGTATCATTTATTACATGTTGGATATTCATGCGCATGAAACTACCGTAAGATTATTTTTTTAATCGTTGTAATTTAGATTTAAATTCCGTATGTTAAACTGATGGTTTTGTTTTTTTCTAGGGGATATTTGCAATCATGAATAAATTTTTCCAAAGTATATGCAAGAAAATTTTGAAATGATACATTTAATAATACCATTTTTTATAACAAAAAAATATATGAAAGAAATTTCTTGTAAATATATTATTTAATAAAAAAACAATGTTTTTTTTATTAAGTATACCTGTTAATAAGTTAAAGGTATATAATATATTAAATAAAATGTTTATATTTATTCGTATTTAAATAATTAAATAATATCTTAGAATCTTTGAGAATTATATATAATAACATCTAGAACAGGGCTTCTCAGATTGTGACTCACGACTCTGTATGGAATCATTTACTAAATTTTGAGATCGCAGAAATTTGAATTAAATTTAAAAATTCCTGGATTTACAATGATCAAAAATTAATTCCAAACCAGTTTAGCAATGCTACATGTGTAATGGGTCTGTGAGCTTATGATAGTAAAAGAGAAGATAGTATAATCTATAACTAGGGTTTCCTAGTGGAAAAGTTTGAGAAGCCCTGATCTAAAATATTGCACACACTATAATATAATACAACAAGAAATGCAATAAATTGAGTATCTAAGTTTATACTATATGATCAAATGCATGTAGTATAAATTGTATACTAATATTTAGACTAAAATTTTTAAATAAATAATGTCTCTGACATTATCGCATATCTTAAAAAGACTATATTATTATTATTATATATTAATGAGAAATATCATGTGAAATATTATAGAAATAGAAAGTTAATTTATGCATAAGATCTTGTAAAAAGTAAAAGAGAAAAATATTTACTTGGTGTTATTGTTATTGTTAGGCCTGACCATTTGGACTTGGCACATTTTAGGACTTCTAACATTACTTTCTAATGTTCACGTGAGAAACGAACAAAATTTAGGCCTAGTGCCAATATATCAGCTCTTGCATTAATAATTATTATTAAGAATATTCAGTCTTTCGTTAAATATACTTTCGTCATATATAATATATGACATAATTCACAAACGTATACGAAATGTTCTGCAAATAAAATAATATATTATTAAATTGTTATTCAAATCATTAGTTTATAAAATTGATTAAATAATATTTTTACTTGGAAAAATCACTGCTTTTTTCTATTATATGTTCAAATTCAGCAAAACTGAGAGCACCATCGTCATCCAAATCGGCTTCATCGAGAATGTATTGAAGAAGTTGTTGCATATCCACTTCACTTAATCTTTGAGGTGCTGTCAATCTGTCGACAACCAACCTTAAGTCTCCTATACCCAACATGTCATCACCATCAAAATCTATATGCAAATAAAAAAATTATTATAATGAATAATAATAATATATACATTTTTATAATCATGATAGAAATATTAATAAACATGACCGAAGAATATTACCAAATATTCTAAAAGCGTGTTCAGCTTTGACAGCCTTTGGAGCAGCATCGCTAAACACAGACATCATATCTAGGAAATCTTCAAAGGTACAATCTCCATCTTGACTAGAACTAAAAACTTTGCAAATTCTATCTCCAAAGGGATTTACTCTTAATTCTGGATATTGTAAAATCTTGGACATAGGAAGCTTTGCATTCCTATTATGCCCAACCTTTTCTGGAGCGAGGGCTTTAAACTTTTGATGTGCACTAACACGAAATGAAATAAACGTCTTTATAATTATTGATGATTAATTAATTGATAATTATTAAAGCATAATTTATACTTACTAGAGCACTTCTTTCTTTGTGAAGTATGTTAGATCCTAAAAAAAGAGATATGAAATTAAATAATCAAATATAATACAAAATAAATTAATGTATTTCTTAAAGATATGTTGTCATTGTTTATATTAATTAATTATTATAATTAATGCATCTAAATCACCTGATAATCTTGTAATTCCTCCTCAGTAAATTGACTTTTTCCAGCTCCCATTTCTCTTTACATTCAATTTCAAACAACAGTAATAAAAAAAGAAAAATTGACTGTATTTTTAAGACTAAATAACACAATGAAATAAATATGTCGATAAGATAATTACTGTTCTTTATGTCTTATATATTGAAAATACGTTGTACACTCATTGTCAGATATTACGGATATTACAAACATGATGAGACTATTTAATTGAACACAATTGCAATAAATATACATGTGGTCGTTGAATCATCCAGCTATGTCAGATCTGCTAAGATCTCAATTGGTTTATCATTTTGTTGCTAGGTAGCGTTTCTCTCGACGTAGTTTTCTACTATTATACCGATATAAAATTTATTTATTTTTTAATAAATGATTTAGAAAATAGTATATTTTTTAATTATCTGCTACTTTTAACTATACGTAATTTCTGATATTTCAATATCATTTGTCCAAAATTTTCTTACATTAAAGTTTAAATTTCCCTCTTATTACAACACCATCTGGTGATCAAATTTAACACTCCAAGTTCCAGATCGATAAACAGTGTAAATTACTGCACGTGTTCCATATGATTTTATTTCATTATTGCAATAAATAATAAACTAATAAACTTGCATATAATTAAAATAAAACAATCATCAACGCAAGATGTTTAAAAAAATGAACAATGCAGTTAATACGGTAACGGATGTCGTAAAAGGAATGTATTACGATCCATTTAAATGGTAAATACAATATATTTATAATAAACAATTATATATATTAAATCTTTTTTAAATCAGTGTTTAGAACTAACCATTTTATCTAATATTAATTAAACACAAATATTTAATGATTAATTATTTATTATATATAACACCGTATATTTCCGCAGGTCGGTGGTGAAAAGCATTGCATTTTTTTCCCTGGGAGTAAAAATAGCTTTAGAATGCAAAGGAATGGATATTATGCCACCAGTTACAGTATAAAACAAATCTAGTAACAATGATTCATTGTTAAGCTTGTTGACATCTAGCATACCACCAAGATTTGTTTTAATTATACATCATTTTTAATTAAATAGATTGTACTATAATTTATTATCATCTCATATTTTAATACTTCTTCTTGTATATATTTTACATAGCAAATCAATAACTAAAAAGTAAAAATATAAATTATAGTATATATCATGTATTTTTATGGTTAAAATTATCCTATACTTGATAAATAAATACATATAAAATATCCAAAATAAAAAATATAAAATAATTATTAAATCTTATTTTATAAATTAAACATTAATTGCAACTATCTAATATTCTTTCCATTAAAAAGAATCTTTTTTTTTTTATTTAAACAATATTAAAAAAATTGTTCCAACAAATAATCTTATTTCATAATTAAAATATTTATTTATATGCTAATGTGAATTATTTTCTTGAAATAAATTGTTACAAGCCTAGTATAAGTTATAGTTACGTATAAGATAACATGAATGCGGTAAATACCAACACAACCACATTTTTACCACATTGATACCATTGTGTTGTCCATATCTATACTAAACAGATAATATTACCTGCACACGGTGTCGTCCGATGATGTTGAATTTACGTTGCTTATTCGTTTGTAACGACGTGACAGTGCTAGTTTTCTAAACAAACGAAAGAATTAGAAATATGCTCGTCTCCAATTAAGAAAATCAAGATAATTAAAACAAATAGAATTGAAAACGTGAAATGTGAAAGTGTACATTTTTAAATAAATACAAGTTGTCGTTCGTGTGTGTATCATGTAAACGAATTTACTGCGAATATGATCATTTTATTATTTTAATTGTCTATGTTTTATTGTATAATATATATATTTATTCAAGATTTGTAAAATAATTCATCATGAGAGAAGAAATGGAAAATTCTTGTAATTCTGAGTTACCAGGTATTTTTGTAAAATTATAAGTAAATGATTTTTAAAACATTCTTAAGTGAAATATGTCAGGTTATGTTTTATTTGTTTAGCTGTAATTGGAGCATTGTTAGATACATTGGATGATAAATCGGTAGATGTCAAGCAGTCGGTAATTAATGCAATTAAAAAAATATCAGAGCAAAATCCTGAAGTCGTCATTCATGCTGCAGTATATTTTTGGGAACTTCATAGAAAGGTATATTTGATTTACTATTTTATGTTTGACCCATAAGATCTACCATGAGTAAGATCCTCGTTTCTCATGTTTGAGTTTTAAAGCGTATTACAAATCTCATACATTGTTATAGTGCAAGGAGTTAATTAATTTTTGTTTGTTCATTTAGATATCATCAGAACATATGGCTTCGTTATTAACAGTGATGTCTGAAACATGCCAATGCCATGGTGCGCATTTGAATGGGAATGTAGCTTCATCGGTCGCAGAACTAGCTGTTAATGAACTCTTGGGCAATGCCGAAAAAGAAGCTGTAGAATTATTAATTTCATTGAGTCAAATACATTGCACGCAAGCAATAGGCATCCTGTTGACCAAGTAGCCTTCTTACGTTTCTTCGATTACACTATTATTATATATTCAATATTTATTTATAAATGATAAAATATTTTTTAATAGATTGGAACCTGGAATATTACCACACCATACAGTAGTTCGTACTTTAGGAATGATAGCAGAACGTAACCCATTTACGATGATATCTTTCTTCAAAATAACATTAACTATTATGATCCCGATGTTAACTCAAACACGTGATGAGATATTAAAAAATGCATTCTGTCTCAGTAAGTTTAAATCGTCAAGCAAATTGTAATAAAAATATTTTTTAACTAACAAATTTTGTATACAGCACTCGGAAAGATTGCAGAAGCTATAAACGACTATATATTAAATACAGAAAAAAATTCATCTCCAGAAATTAGTAAGGAAACATTTAAAGAAGAAATATGCTCCGCATTTGATATATTAACATTTACTTGGATAAAAACAGCTAAGGATTATAAAGGAGTGGAAGCAGTGTTGTCAGCAATCGTTCATATGATACCATTACTACCGCAAGAAATAGATTGCGAAAGAATTGTTAAAATAACGCCCATGTTGTTGAGTTTTTGTAAGAAAACTAATACTCGTTTAGGAGCAGTTAGGTATACTATCATTTACAACTTGTTTTATTTACGACGATGTATTATCATTTCATCAACTTTATTTAATATCGTAGAGTCTTAGCAGTGGTTTTAAGTTGTGCTATGGAAAATGAGAAAGAAGCTCTTCGCTCACTTCTAGAACAGATACATCCAGTTTTATCCGAATTAGTTTGTACAGTTCCATTTGAGGCATCCCGAGATGTTCTTCTAACGCATTATCAAGTTTTACAATGTTTTAGATCATTGATTATATTATATCCAGAAGAAGGCTTAGATAGGTAATAATCTTTTGAGTTTAGAATAGATTTATGAAATTCTTAGTTATAAACAATATATAAGTGTATATTATTGTAGAATTTTACAACAATTGAAGTCCACATCAGTATCTCAGAAGGCACGAGCTTTGGTAGTTCTTAAACATCTTATTAATACACTTCCATCTGAGGTATTAAAAACATTATAATAAATTATATTTAATAAAAAAAATGTATATACATTAAATCTTCAATACTTCTAGGATGATACAACATTACAACGAATCGCACTTAGTTTACAAGAATCTTTGGGAGATAATAGTGCATTGCAAATGGTTGGAGCCATTGTGACACTCGCAGCACGTCCTACGGTACCACTTTTACCATCACAAAGAGCAACCTTTGTTCGTTATATGGTAAATAATTATAAATTGAAATTATTGAAATTAAATGAAGAAAATAAAAACTATATTTTCAATTTTTTTAGGTAACTCATTGTGACACAAAAAACGATGAATCGGATGCATATGCAGAAGCATTACATTTGCTTGCAACAACAGTAGATGGTGCGGAATCTTGGTTGTGGCCTTGTCTAATACGTGCTTTACTGGATCCAGCTTGCGTGTCGTCGGTATATGCTGACAAATAATTAATAATGCAAAAATATTACAAAACTTGCATTATATCCAAATTAATATGTAATCTCATTATTGATATTTTTATAGGTAGCATCTATATTGCGTGCTTTAGCACCTTTAGCAATTAAAATAGTTAACAGCGGTAGTTCATCGATTAATCAACGAGATTTTCCTGGTACCAAAATTCTAAGCAGATGTTTAGAATTGTTGGGAGATGTACAGAATCGCATACCCATCGTAACATTTTTAAAAGCTGCAGCGCCTTTATTAGGGCACCAACTTATGCTATATTGGGATGAAAAATTAAACGAGATAACACATTTTTTAAAAGACGAATTTCCTGTTAATGTTAGATTAATGGAACAGCGGTACGTTTCTTATTTGTTTTCTTAAACGAATAAATGATATTAAAGATTTTATTTCAATAATTATAGAAATCTGAATTGGGAAGAGAAAATAGTCGAATTTTTAGAGGAAAGCATTAAATTAGAAGGGGAAGCATGGGGCTTAAAACTCGCTGATGAATTAGTAGTAAAAGCTAGTATACCCCATATAGCACCATTGTTAGCATCAATGTGTAGTAGTAATGCACATATAACACTTCTTATCGAACTTGCACGTTCCAATACATTGAATGAAGAATACGCAAGAGCTGTTGGAATTTGTTCGAAACGACATTTGGATGTTGTTATTAAATTAATGGAAGAAGCTTGTATGGCTGAGGATACGAGAAAAATTCCTGTTAAATTATTAGGTCTTGTTAAAGATTCTAAAGCTATAGCTACAGCGGAAGCTGCAAAAGCTGGATTGTTGAGATGTTATGCAGAGATTGCACAAAGGGGAGATGTAGAAAAATTATATCCTTCGTTCGAGAAAAATATATTATCATGGATTATACGACAATTGAGTGACTGCAAAGAATTAACTACTAAAGAAGCTGGATTATTAGCATTAGAACAGGTAATTAGATATTTTAATGATGTATAAAGGTATCGTCATACGATTATACATTAGTAAATTTTGTAAAGGTTGCCAACGCTGTTCATCCTAATAGACTGCAAAAATCAACAGGATTACATGCAAAAAGTAGTGCGCTTGCAATTTTATTAGGAATCTTACAATCATCGTCAGGATATCGACCACTAAAATTGTACCCAAAAGTATTGAAGACTATAGTATCGCTTGTGTATCCTTTTTCTACAAAATTATGTATAGTAGATGTACTAATTTTATTATTATTATATTATTGTATCTAAAAATTCCTGAATTTAAATATAGACGTGTACCACCTCAATTGAATTCAGAAGAAAAAGGAATTTTGCTGAGCTCAATTTTGGATAAAGTTATAGGTGCCAGTACCGAGGTAAACAACATACAATGTACAAATATTGTCATACATCTAATTTAATCATTTTTTCACAGGTGGTTCTATTGCTACAATCAGAATTTATGCAGCAGGTAATAGACGAGTTAGGAATTGCATGCAGCGAAATTGTATCCGATTCTGCAGATGCATTAGCTGATCTTATTGACATAATGTTACCATGGATGCAATCAAAATCATTCACCGAAAGAAAAACTACTTTATTAGTGTTAAAAATGACTCTCAGGTAAACTAGTAATTTTTTTAGCAGATTATTATTATTATTTCAATTTTATACTAAATTAAGTTTCCATTTATAGATCATACTATAATTCTTTAAAATATACTTATCCTGGTGGTAAATTAGAACCAGGGAGACTTATGGGAAGGGTTTTATCATGGTGTGCAGATTCAGAACATTCGCTTAGACCAATAGCGATAGATTGTGTAGCATTGTCTTTAAATATTGGAGCTCGTCATCGTGCTTTAATATCTGATAATAACTTAGACAAAGATTTAAATAATTCAAAGACGATTATTGTTGGCGAAGATCCCAAAGCTTTTTACGATGGCATTAAGGTAAGTTCATTATACTTTATGATGTCTTTTATAATAAATCTAATAATATATATTTTTTATTTAGATCTTAACAACAGCTGTATCTGAAAGAATTAATAGTGGTGACATAATCAGTTTAGCAGAAGGCTTAATAGAAGCTCTGTTGTTTCGTGGAGAAGCAAGTCTTGCTGCGAGTATAGCTCTATCTCAACATTTAAAAGTTAAAGGATCGGAAATATCTAGAAATGATATTACTTTGGTCGGTAAGTGTTTGTTAATTTTTTTTAGATCAATATTTTTACAAATTTCAATATCATAACAAATTTATTTTCTTTTAATTATTCTATAGATAATATTATTGCACAAATGAGACAAATGGAAGACATTAATCAAAGAAAAAGTACAGCAATTGCTATTAAATCTTTAATGGAACATCATCCCGAAGAAGTAATTGAACGACTTTTATGTCAACCATTACCACTGGATAGAGGAAGTGAAGAATGTTGGAAGGCGCTTGGTATCAGTTTAGATTTAGGTTCTCGTGTATGTTTTAATGACATTTTAATTAATTATTTTAATATTAAGTTAAAAATGTTAAATTTCATTTAATATAGTAAAATTTCTGACTTTATTTGCTTAGGCTTTGGAATTACTTCTAACAAGATTAGAAAACAATCATTTATTCATGGAAATTGCAACCACACAAAATGTAAAAAATGATGTTGCATCTTTTCCATCATTGGCAGCTATCGTGGCTCTACGACATTTACTACAATCCTCAAATTCGAAAGAGCTGATCAATAAACAATTACCAAATCTATTATCAGTATTATTAAAATATCTAGCAGGATGGTTATATGTTGATGCTCCTATATGCGTTGTTAATACCAAATTTGGTTATGTACCAAATAGAGAAGGATGTAAGATAAATCCACATGCAGAAGCTTATTCCGTATTAGTTAATGTATTAACTACAGTAGATTCAACCATAGCATCGAGTTTACTTAACGAAAGTGTGAGTAAAATAATAATTAAATTATTTCTATATTTAAGTATATATTTACACAATTTGCAATGTTTATTAATAATTTATTAATTCTAGTCATTTTCCTCCGAAACGCAAGCAGAGGAAAGTATAGTGACAACAGTACGTTTAATGATGAAATGTATATATACGAAGAATAACGTATTGTTATCTTTGTCTCAATCTTTGGGAAAAATGATGACGAGTACAATATGTGCGCAGAGAGTGGTAGCTGCTACTTTTTACTCTAAATTAATAGGGAAAGTTAATTGTAATGTTATATGGCTTGATGGAATCATAAATACATTGTATGAAGCTAAAGCTGATTCATCTCCTTTGGTTCGAAAATTAGCAACTATCGGACTCGCAAGAATTGCTTATTTAGAACCTAAACAAGTAATCAAATTTTTGTAAGATCATATTTTTCAAAGTGGTATATTTTTTATATAATATATTGTTTCAGGTTGATGAATATTTCGATAATTGTATGGATGCTTTGCTCGATGGTTTAGAAGAGCCTGCTAGCGGTGATGGAGGCAATGATGTGATTTTAGAATCGTTACGTGGTCTTTCTGTATTATTGTCAGTTCAATTTGCGCGCCCAGTAAGTCCTCGAGTTGTACTTGCTTTAAAACCATTTATTGAAAAAGAGAATTGGGAAATGAGATTAGCAGCTATAAGTGCCTTAAGTGCTGTAGCTTGTAGTTGGGAAAAAATTATTGTACCACCGGACGATGATATAAGAGATCATCTTTTGAGTTGTTTACCTTGTCTTACGATAAGACTTGAAGATGAAAACATCACGGTGGCTAAGGTACTCTATTAGTAATTAATAATTATTTATCTTAAAACTTTTCTGTTAATATATTTTTATTTTATATTTTATTATTATAATCAACAGGTAGCACAAGAAGCTTTACGCAATACAGCAAGTTTATTGCAATGTCAACCATTGTTTGATATAATATATGCTTCCTTAGGACCAAATATTGAATTTCATTTTGAAAAATTTATTTCCAATTTGATACTTTGTCTACAAAAAGAGCTTCCACAAAGAGCCGAGGAACTTAGGTATTCCGAAATTATTTTATTCAAATTCAACATTATTACGTTACTTGGGATTCATTTTACTTATTTATTGTTTTCAGAAATGCTGTAGTACGAGGATATTCGAGGTCTGAAAATTCTAATACCAGGGCCACATCTGCATTACTTTTAGGACACTTTGGTTCGCCAAGACCAGAAGATATTCAAAGACTCCTCCAACTGTTAAGGGATACAGAAAGCATTGTTAGAAAACGTGCCGCACATGCACTATCCTTATGTTTTATTTTATAATGCAATGAATAACTTTTTAATATACATTATTCTTACATTATTTCAAATATTTTAATGTAAGATTAAATGATTCTAGATCACGATTGTTACATAGTCAAACAAATTTCCTTTACTATTTCATCTATTTGAATCTTAATATATATATATTTATACAAAATTAATCATGGTAATAAATTTATATATTTATTTTAACAATCTGTATAAAAAAAAAAGCTTAAGATGCGATTACAATAATATATAATTATCTCCAATGCTACTATTATTTATATAAAAAAAAAAATAAGCATCATATTTTATATACATACATTTAAATAATATAATTTTCAGTAAATGTTTATAGCAATGTGAAAAACTTTTTGAAATATTTCTTTTTATAATTTAAGATTTTCTGAATATCTTCTTGCAATATAAATTGATAAAATATTAAATTATGATTAAATATATACAACATTAATAAAATATATTAAATGTACGTACTGATGAAGTGCCTGCGATACAGATAAACCTGGGTGAACACTCGATAATACCTTTTTTTCTAAAGGAATACCTAAACCTATATATGGTCTATAACCACCATAAGTTAAAGGTAATTTATCATAAGGTATACGCAATTTATCTTTGTCTAATAATTGTTTCACTTCCAATCTTTCACTTTCTTGTTCTATTTCTAAGTTTTTACTTTCCGAGTTACTAAAAATGATAAAAAATAATTGTGTTAATCTTCAAGAAAAAGTTATGATATATTATTGTAAACTTACCTATCTACAGAATTTAGCTTTTTAATATCATCCAACAAAAATGAACGATCTTGCAATTTATCCCATTCTTTAGCTTCGTTAGGAAACCGTGCTGATAAAGAACATGATGGTTTCTGCGTACTCTGTAAAATAAATATTTCAATCAATTATTCTAACATTTAACTAACATAAAACAATGTGTAATGATTACATAAACCATACTTCTTTAGATATTTCTTCGATATTTATTTCAGTAGTACATGGATGTTTCGATTTAAAATCACCCCAAACATCTTTACTAGTATAATTAAATGTTGTCATGTATGTAAAATCAAGCAATAATTTTCTCGTCTCAGAATTCTGTATATCATCGAGACTTATACTTGGAGTCATATAAACACGTGGTCTAGATCTGCATTATTATTTAAATATTTGTTTATATACGAGTATATTATCTCTTTGCATATTACAAAAATTATTTCGTTGACCTTATCGCTTCATGATTCCAATGATCTTCAAGAATTTTGTGTCGAGTTATTGGCTTTATAGAAACTGTTATTGCATCTTTCGATTGCCAAAGAGTATTAAATGGTATTCGTTTATCATAACTCAAACGTTGAAAAGTATCATGAGCTGTAAATGTCCGTTTTAATGAGTCTGAACATTTTGCATCCTTTGATGAATTTAAATCATCTGCTACTACAGGAATTTTCTAAAAGATACGGTTAATTATTTTACAAAATATAATTGTTTAACACGATCATAAATTTACCTTTGTTAAATTCAGTGGATAATGTACATAATCGTATTTGTAAGTAGTTGGTTCTTCATAGAGTTGTATATTTCTTTTATGCATATCACAATTCGTCATAGTTTGATATTTAAATCATTCAATCGTATTAAATAAAATAAATCTAAATTTTTGATTTAATTGGTCTTGAGATTTAACAGTGAAGTTTGATATATATATTCTAGATACATCATTGTTTTATTAAAAAGAAAAATATAACCAAGGAGAAATTGATTGTTGATATTTTATATATTATTAACATAATTATACATCAGGGAAGAAAATCTGATATAATACATTAATCTCTTATAAGATAAATATGTATAATATATGAAAATAGTAAAAAATGTACACGAATTATCCAATATTAAATTTATTTACTATGCAATTTTTCAATGCAAACGCTAAGTTGTTGAAGACGATGTAATAAATGTCTCATATTCGCACTTGATTGTCTTAAACCAGACTGATCGCTACCGACTTCTTGTCTTTGACCTAATTCAAAATGAAGTCTAGCTAAACGTTCTTGTTGTTCTCTTATCTCTGTCATTTGTTCCATACTGCAATCTTTACCTATATATTTTATGTATTAACAATTTTATCTCTATGTCTCGTTAATCTCTTTTACTTGTGGACATTAAATTGACAGTAAATACAAACCGAAGGCTCGTAAATTTCCGCTATGAAAATCTTCCAATAGTTGCAGTAAAGCTTGTTCCATGCGTCTGACGTCGGGAACCTCTGATAAAAAACAATGGTGTTTGCACGGCGTCATGTCTATTATTAATTATGACACCAAAACAAAACCAAATGCGTGTGATCAATTCAAAAATCAAAATAATTTCAAAATATTCTTTTAAAGAAAAATATAATTTAAATCATATATAAATAAGTGCAGAAACAAAATTAACAATTACAATGAAACAGAATTATAAAAATATAACAAAAAAAAAAACAAATATACAAATGAAACTAAAATAGATGAATAAATAGCATACTATAAATTAGTACCTTTTTGTTGTCTATTGAGCCTTGGAGGTTCTGGTCGATTAGGTCTTTGTTTCTCTTTTTCATTTAAGTAAATCAAACGAGATTGATTGGCAGTATGATTAGAAAAATTAATGGCTCTACCAGAAACCATAGAACCTTGACTCGTTGCTTGACCCGAACTACCCTTACTAACGATAGGAGAAGTCTGTGTATTGCTCTCCCATAATACTTGTTGCTAAAGATTTATTAATTGATTAATATTTGTCTGTATTGTTAACTAAAAAAAACATATTATCCATACCGAAACATGAGAACTATGGGTTTCATTTTTACTCGGATGTTGTGATCTTGCCGGGGTTGAAGGAGGTGTAGCTTCACCACCACGACTTAGTGGTTCTTCGCATTCTTCTTCTTGAACCAATTGTTGTAGTTCACCGCAACCTGATTCCTCTACCATTATGACAACTTGAAATTATGATGTCTTTGGTAATTAATAATTGTCTAGGCAAGAATATTAGAAAAAAACAATATTTAATTTATCTTATATTAATAAAATGCAGTAGTGTTTGCTATTGCTATGTTTATAACTTATCAGAATTTTCATTTTTAAATAACTACTACAACATTAATACAAAGAATTATTGATACAATATAATTTTATTGTATTACCTCTACTACTATTGCTATTTTATTATCTTAACGGAATATATATATGTAATAACAATAGAATACACATGCGCATAAAATGACGGACTATGATCAGGGTCATACATGACAACTTCCAGTAATTATAACTTCTCACATACTATCATTTAAATTGCGAGGATGATTCATTCGTATAGGTATTATTAGGGTTTTTAATACTTGATTTTTAAAATGTATACGAAAACTTAAGTCATGTTTCTTTTGTTTATCCCATAGTGCATCTCATGAGTGCATAGTGCATATTGCAATTTAAAAACTTAGTCGATAATAGTGAGTTACCTGTTTTACCATCAGCTGATCAAATCAATTCTTTCCAATCGATAAAGTAAATTCTTCATCCTTAGATGGCTCACTCGAGTAGCTTACTTGCTCACCGTTTGAATTAAGTAATCGTCTTCATAGTCATAACGCCAAAAAATTAGCATAGAACCTGAACAGCAGAAAAAAATGAATTTTTGTGCTTTTGAGGTTCAATGCCAACTTTTCGGTGGTCATAGTCATTCATATTTAAGTGAAATGTTAAAGTTTAAATATGTGCAATATATTTTTAAAAAAAAATTATAATTTGACGTTTATATGACACTTCTAATAGCGCAATCTACCGGAATAATAACAATATTATTGATCATAAACAAGATCGTATTTGATAATCGCATAATGATTTAAATTAATGCAAATTTAGTGCATCTCAGCTATAAGATATATTTTCAAAACAGTTAACTAATAACAACAATATTAATTGCGTTGACTTTGTTTAATAACGAGGTGATGTAACTTTAAAATCTATGTACATATGTAACTAACAACTCTGCATGCTAATGATAATAAACATATCATAATAAATCAAAATTTAAATTACTATTAACGAAATAATTAATTAAATTCGTCGTTTATAAACGAAGTAAGTCATTTGTATTATCCAAGTGAAGATTAATCATGAAAAGTTGAATAAACATTTGTTTTTATTTTGAATAAAAGTAAACAAGAGATTTGTTTGACATAGATTGTTTATATTATAGGTCAAATTGATGATTCCATGGATGCGTAGCCGAATAGCAGAAGCCTGGTATAATAGAAAGAGTTCAAGGACTGCCGAAAGGCAGTCCTTGGCTCCTTCTTCAACTAGCACAGGCAATTCAGAAAGTAATAAAAGCATGAATCTGATATCCTCTGGTCCATTTTTCGTTAAAGTTATCAGGTTTATTATTATATTCCTTAATATATCAATTAATTTTCTTTAACATTCAAAATATTAAATAATTACATATACTTTTTTTTTCCACATACAGTACGAATGGTTTTGTATTACATATGGATGTAGATATGAATACCACGATTAAAATTATTAAAGAAGTAGCAATTCGACATTTTCATGGGATGTTTCATGAAATTTCATTGTTTGATAAATTTCGTTTAGTCCATGCAAATAAGCTTAAACAACTCGCAGATAATAAAACAGTGCAGGACGAAGAAATCGCTTTTCGTGGTAAATTTTAATTATTATTAAGGGTAGACCAGTATATTATGTATCATATATGTATATATTATTTTGATTTCAGATGAATTACTATTAATGCCTATCAACTCTTATTTTAAGGCATATCGTTCATCGGAAGAAAATATTAGAGGTCCAAGCATAAGAGATGTAGAAGAGGCTACTCATAATTTACCCATAAGAAATCCACCTAAATATATACCACCTCTTTATTTCTCACTTGTGGTAAGATTATATTTATGATAGATTATATATTGTATTTATTAAATACTTTTGTTTCATCTATGGTTCTAGGTCGAAACTCATAAAATTTTATTAACGCTTACATATTCGTCGGCTCGATTATTAATGTGTAGTTCAGAAGCACCGAATCTATTTCAAACGATTAAAAGGAAATATAAAAAATTATGTTTACCGTCAATTGGCTCGGAACATTTACAAACGTTAACTGATATTGGTTACTCTACGCAACAGGGGATTGTAGCACTTTACGTAAAAAAGTAAGTAATATGGTATGGTATTTTTTCAAATAAAATATGATGAAATATAGTAAATTATATGTATAGGAACAATGTGACACAGGCTTTAGACTGGCTGATAAAACATCAAGAATATCCATCTGAGTATTTTACTATTTCAGTAATATTAAATTTGATAGCCAAAAAGAAGGGCAATGAAGTAGATTCTAATTCACCAGAGATTGTACAGATTAACTATTGGAATGCATGCAATGATCTTTTTAGTGGTAATAATATTGCACATTAAAATCATTTAGCATATTTGAGTTTATATTGCTTACAACACAAATATATTTATTATATTAACGTTTAGATGGAAGCACGAAATACGTGGAAGAGAATTTATTAAACATTGTAACTGTCTTAATAGAATATTTCCGGTATATCTACAAATTTAATTTTAAAGCAGAAGAAGAATTGGTAAACAAATTTTTGGAAATGGGTTTTCAAAAGAAAGATATAATAGAAGCATTAAAAGCTTGTGGAAATGATGTATTTAATGCTGTAAGTATAATACTGTATCAAATGTAATATCGATATCTAGGTTACTATAATTACAAAATATCTTTACTCGTATAGTGCGAATGGTTACTTGGTAATCGAGAATTAAGTTTAATAGATACGAATATCGGCTTTAGCTCAAATGATTTGATTTATCAAGCATTTATGAATAATCCTCAAATACAACTCAACATTAATAATCCAAACGCGCTTCTCGGTAAATATAAATGATTCATTTTTAATAAAATCACACACATTCCATGAAATATATAATTATTTTCTTATTAACTAATAATTTTTCACAGTATTCTTAAAGATCCTAGATGAACCTGTTATTTCAGCCGAATGGATCAGCGATCCCGAAATCTTTCCTCTAATTGATCAAATATTTAAAACATATCATGCCGAAAAACGACTTCATTTGTCCTAGGATATTTTAATTTTATTATATTAAAATGAAAATCTTCTTAATCTATGGGACAAACATATTTTCATATTAAACTTACAAAAATAGATCTTAATGCAAGATATATATGTCGATTGACAAGAAATTCGGTATTTAAATGCAGTTTGTTAAATAAAGAGAGAAAAAATCACATATTTATTGAATTAACTAGTGTTCTTAAAGATCATATTATAAGATCTAATATAATCTAAGTCATTTAATTATTAACTGTTCGACGAAAGTAATAACTTTAAAGTAATATATAAATTCTGTTTTAACTATATATTTATGATAGAAATGATTTAAAAAGAATTAGAAATATGCTGTGTATTTATATAAGCTTATTTATTTTAAAGTCAACAATGCTTTGTACTTTTTATTCGAATAATAAATTAAATATTTATCTGCGTTACATTATTAATTATATTTTTAAAATGTTAGACTTTTGTAGGCTTCAATTTAAAGTATTTAGGCTACTTTGTTACAATAAATGAGTATTTATTAATGAGAATGTAAATAATATATTTTAATTACAATTTAATTAGGAATTAACATATTAATCGTTAGTAATTCGATAGTAATAGAGTTTTGAGTCCCTTGGTGGCGCTAGTTTCTATATTATTTTTGACAGTTGTTTTCGGCAGTTTGTTTAGTTAACACGTGCATTTATATAAATAATTACGAAACGATGGTTTATTATTTTACAAGTGACGGTAATTTATAATATTCAAATTCTACATTTCTTAAAAATTCATCTTTGTTATACTTTACTTGCGAATATAATTATAATTGTTTTTCATGAGAATGTTTTAAGGTTAGGATGTAAATGATTATTTTTCATTGCAGTTGTACAACCACCAGTAACGTTGTTTATGGGGGTTGATAAATATGAAAGTAAGTTGCATATTATTTTATCGTATTGATTATTAATTAATGAAGGATTAGTATTAATATCTTTTCGATGCATTATTTAGACGAGGATTTAATTAAGTGGGGTTGGCCAGAAGATGTTTGGTTTCATGTGGATAAATACTCATCAGCTCATGTATATTTACGATTACACCCGGTAAAAATAATTTATAAGTTTATTTTAATATTATTATTGTAAATAATTGTAAAACTAGGTTATTTTTTCTTTCTTTTTTTTATTTTTTTTAGGGCCAAACGATAGACGACATCCCAAGTACAGTCTTGGAAGATGCTGCACAATTGGTAAAAGCTAATAGTATCGATGGAAATAAAATGAACGACATCGATGTCGTCTACACTATGTGGTCTAATTTGAAAAAAACTCGAGGAATGGAAGTCGGTCAAGTTGGTTTTTATAAGGAGAAAGATGTTAGGAAAATTCATGTTACCAAACGTTTGAATGCTATCATTAATCGACTGATTAAAACCAAGCGTTCTGAGCAAGTTAATTTACAAGCGGAAAGAGAACAAAGAGATAGAAGTGAGCGAGAGGATAAGAAGAAGCTTTTGAGGGAACAAAAGGAAAAAGAAAAAGCAGAAGAGAAAAGACGTCAAGAAGAAGCCGAAATAAGGTACGCTGTTTCCTATTTACAATTATTCATTTTTCTTATACTCAAATGCGTGCATATTATTATTTAATATATCTTTATACGTTTCTATAGAAGCTATAATTCGTTATTCAATTCGCAAAGCATGACGTCAAATACAGAAACCAGCGGTTACGATTCGGATGACTTTATGTGATGAATTCAATATTATTTAAATTATTACAAGTGGTGCCTATTGTAAAATATATTTTAATGTATATTACGAAGAATATAATTAAAATAAAATAAAAAGCACTTGTATTGATCATGTAATATGATTATACTGATCGAACACTTGTTTTTAATATTATTTAATAATGTAAAGAAAAAAATTATTAACATAAATATTATAAATTTTAAGCTGTGATTGTAATCTCTTCTCCGTGACACGATAGCGAACGTGTTATTAAATAATTGTCTATTATGTAATTATTAACTTTATTGAAAAGTATTTTATTTTAGTAATATGTTAATAGCATTCGCATTATATTATATAAGTAATCTTTAGTAATATGGTACACCATGTGAAGAATACTTACAAAAGTCGTTGAATTTTGTATTGTATGAATACTAATTCCATTAATCGTTATAACAATGTAATATTAACTGCTTGTAGAGCATTAATTATCCAATCTGGATACTCTTTATCCGGATACACATTTAACATATAATTTTGTACAAATTCTGGATACTTTTGCTGCTTTATACTTTCTCTAATGTCTTCCATTAATTTCATTTGAAATGCTATATTATGAACCGTTAATAAGTGACACGCAACTGTTTCTATTGTAACTATGTGATGAAGATATGCACGTGTATACGTCTTACAAGTGCTACATGAACAAGATTCATCTATTGGTCTCGTATCATTACTAAATTGACTTTGTTTTAAATTAAATTGGCCTGTACGCACCAAAGCACAACCAAATCTCTGAAATGATTAGTTTAAATTAGCTCCTGTTTTATGGAACTATTTATTAAGTATAATAAAGAATATGTAGCACTTTACTTACAGCCGTTCTTGTAGGAAATACACAATCAAACATGTCGACACCTAATGCACAACATACAACTAGATCTATAGCGAAACCAACACCCATTAAATAACGAGGTTTGTCTTTAGGAAGAATATCAGTAGAAAGGTGTACCATTCTCCAAAATATATCTTTACTTTCACCACCGCTGTAATACATTTTTAATTTATTTATTATTTCATAAAGTTAAATAGATAGTATTTAAATTAATAATACCTTAATCCTCCAATTGCAAAACCATTTACTTTTCTTTTAATTAATTCACGTGCACATTCCGCTCTTAATTTAGAATTTAATCCACCTTGTACAATAGGAAATATACTTTGTTCGTCGGATCTTTCGTGTGCTGATAGACATCTATCCAACCATCTTATTGTTCTGTAAATTAAATCTTCTTATTATTAAAATTGTACTTTATAATAAAATAAATATAATGTATTCAATAATATTTACCTTCCCATAGCTTCCGTTACTCTTGGTCCAGTTTGGGTACTTTTAACTACATCATCTAATTGCATGATTATGTCAGCACCAATTGTATTTTGAATTTGAATTGATCGTTCAGGAGTCAACATACAATTAGCATCTAAGAAAAAGAAGCAGGTACAATTTAATTAAAAAACATTTATAATTAAACACATGATCTATAAAATTATGCTATTTTCCGCACTCTTACACAATACCATTGTACGGTGACTTAAAGTTTACTCCTTCTTCTGTGATTTTAGCGAGTGATAATAACGATACCATTTGAAATCCACCAGAATCCGTTAACAATGCTCTTTTCCAATTCATAAATTTATGTAAACCTCCTGCTTTTTGCAATATTTCGATACCCTAGAAAATAATAAATATTTAATATTCGATAAGATTGAAAATGCGAGATTGTTTAAGATGAGAAATCAAATACAGGTCTGTTTCCAAGATGATAAGTGTTGCCAAGAATTATTTGACAATTCAATTCTTCCAGCTGTTGAGGTAACAATCCTTTCAGAGTACCCTGAAATAGATGTAATATATATAATCTCAAATAATAAACATTTTTTTTGTTTCTTTTATACATTTGTATAATATTATAGAAAATATAATATCTACCTGTGTTCCTACTGGCATAAAAACTGGTGTATCTACATGATGATGTATTAAAGTCATTTTCGCACTTCTTGCTTTACTAGTTTTACATTCTGCTAGAATTTCGAACTTTAAAGGTGATGCTTTATCTTTCGCCATTATTTGTGAATTATTTAAATTTAATTTTTTAACCCAGTGACGCATTTGTCACATAAAATAATTACACGTGTACTAGAAGTACTATCTAATGTAATTATTTGTATAAACCTATAGAAGTATTATTTACATAAAAATTACAATTATTTACAGATACAGATTATTATACAGTTAAAATAATTTACTCATTAATAAATTTATTTATTAGGCATCTTTTTTATTATAAATAAAAAAATACGAGGCTTAACTGTTCTATATCGCATATAAACATGTGTATTTGCAAGGAAGTCCCCTATCTGGAAAGCGATTCTTATTGGCTAGAACGGTTTCTGCTTCAGTCAATTAAATTCATCTTTTTGTTTCTAATTATGCAAATCGTAAATACAGAAATCTTATTATTTGTCATAAAGATTTTACTCTTTGAATTTAAAAAAGCATCTAAGATAGGATTAGGTTGCCAAGGAAAATGTTTCCATCGTTCAAATAAAGACACTCATTAAATAATAGCTATTAACCAATCAGAAGGCAAGAGTTTCAAAATCGGAGAATGCAACTCACCAATAGTAGTTTCTCGAAAATAAAATTACATTGTTTTATATATTTATGGAAGTTAATTTTATTGTTAAATATTATAAATATTTTTATACGTTTATATATAATCTTATTTCGTTCTTCATGATTTGCATTCCAAAATCGATAGTTTTGTTGCTGTCATTTGTCGATAGTATAAAGATAACATCTTAAAAAAAGTTATAGCATATTCAAATTTACTAGTTCTCAGCGGTTCTCAGTCTTACGTTTACTGTTCGACTTTCTATGGAAATTATGTGATTACAAATTTCACGGTAACATGGCATCGCTCGACGACGAGCTCACAACACATTTTGTACATGCAACTGATGAATTGAAATGGATTCCTTTATCTTTGACTCTAGTCGAATATCCACAAGGTAAGGATTTGTCATTGTTTCTATAATTAAAAATATAGTTAGCGTTAGCCGGAAAATTAGTGGATTCTTCATGTCTACATTTTGTTATTGTTACCTGTTTACATGACAGGTGTCATTGATTTTTCACAGATTATTTTTTTCTATTTGATTTGTATTAATGAATGTACACGAAATTAGTATTGCAATCTATTTTGTGTTGCATTATTAAGTAATTCTTTACTATTTTTATTATTTTTCCAATTTCTATTGTGTCTAAAATTGAATTTTTTGCTTTATTTACAGGAGACATATTTGGTAAATTATTGGCCCTAGTAAGCTTAGCACCCTTCATTATTTTGACAAGTTTTATAACATTAATTTTGTTCAGAAGGGATTTACATACTGTGAGTATAAAACATTTACAAATTTTTATTTAAATTTATATTTATCCTACATATATAATAATTATTTTCTAAAATTATTCGTTATTATCTATTTCAGATATTATTTTTTAGTGGAATCATATTGAACGAATTTATTAATTTAATATTAAAACATATAATTTGCCAACCAAGACCATTGAAACGTGATGGCATTTATAACGAATATGGTATGCCCTCTTCTCACGCACAATTTATGTGGTTCTTTACTGCATATGCAATACTTTTCATATACATTAGGTAAATATTTTTATTGTATCTTTTATCATATCATTATTATTATATACTGATTAATTGCAATAATGTAAACTTGTTGATATATAGGTTACATCGCAATAGTAATAGCACAATATCCGAAAGGTTTTGGCGAATAATTATTGTTACTGGCTGCACAATAACAGCCGTTTTAGTGTCTTATGGCAGAATTTATCTACAATACCATTCCACCTCGCAAGTTGTATGGGGTTTAACTGTGGGAGTTATTTTAGGAGTCTTATGGTTTTTAACAACACATATTATTCTGACTCCTTTGTTTCCTATTATCGTATCATGGTACTTTAATTTTAATTATTTGCTGACCTTAATTAATTTCTAATTTATGAACTCTTTGGCTACAGTACATTCTTGCTAGGAACTATCAGTATTATAATAGCATTATATTTGCATGTCAATTGCTGCAACTAGTTGTCACACATTGTTATACTTATCCATCCAAATGCATGTTTTGCTTTTCTTATTCAAAGAATTAAGATGAAATATATGACATTTACGAAGTTTATTTCTTGCAGGCAAATATCGGAATACCTGCTATTGCGCGACACATCTTCGATTCCGGATATATTGTGGTTTGAATATACAAATATTCGTACAGAAGTTCGATCACGCTCGCGAAAATTTGTATCCATGAAATCACAGTAACGTTTCATTCCTGACCGAAATAAACGCGCGAGCGTTGCCTTTATAATAATTTAATTGTGATTTTAAGCATCATTCCATTAGAATGATTATTCCATTAGAAAAATTCTATCATAAATCATCGATCTATTATACAAATATTACATTTAAAAAATAAGTGGTATTTAAATATATTATTAGAATTATATTAGATATAGGTACGATCTTTTTATTTTTTTAAATCTTTTGTTGCATTTATTATACGGTAAATTAAATGTTTATTCTATGAACTAGTCTGCGCACTTATTCTCATTCATATCAAGTTTTTATATTTTTATTATATTGATGCATATTGTATTGTTATTTTTCATAGTTAATATTACCATGAATTAATAGGGGGAATTAAAGTATTTTTGGTTTTTTAATGACACATAAGAAACAATGTACTTTGTATATAAATAAAATATTTAAAAGATAAATAAGTCTTCTTTTTTAGCTCAATTTCAAACTATTTGTGGATTAGGTAAATTTTATAAAATTTAGTTCTCAATTTTTAAAATATTAAAAAATGTATTATGTGTCGATAATAAAAAGCGGGAAAATTTGAATATGTAAAAAACGAAGCTATATACAAGGAGGACGATCGAGATAGGCGTTTGCGTCGAATTTGTGTTGTTGAAAATGGCTGAATATCGAGTACGATAATTATACACGATGGCGGCGGTGATGTTCTTAAATTTAGATTTAAGTACGTGTGATTTTATAAATAAACAAATTAAATTAATAGGTCTCTTTGATTTTTTTGTTTTAATTACTGTTTTTAAAAACCAGACTAAGCGACTAGACGCGCTCTCTAGTGGCAATAGAAATCATTCTTTCATTGTAAATATTGTACCCACATTTATAACACGGTGATCGTCCTCCTTGTATATAGGCTCCATGATGTATAAGTTCACGCGCAAAGTTAAACGGCGCCACTTCGCGGAAGTTTACGGAATTACGGATCGATAGAAAATAAGAAGCAATAGAAAATAAAAAGCAATAGAAGGTATTCACCGAATAATCGTCATCCTGTTAAAGAGAACAAAAATGGATTTCAACGTAAAGAAATTGGTTAAGGATGCTGGTGCTGCATTGAGCAGAGTTGTACAGGTAAAATTTTTCTAATTAATTGTTAAACAAATTTCTACCTTTATTACATTGAAAGATACGATGTGTTACGCTACCAATGACTGTCGTTTATAAACGCTGTCACATCTGACATTTTATACATTTCTAGAAGCAAAATCTAATTCAAATCTAATTGACAGTTAACAATCAATTTACTCTTACTTAAGCTTTATTTGATGACTCCACAAATATATTAGAAAATCTTTTTAGATCCATACAATAGGTTCTTACTAAGAATTATTTTTTAACCTAATTGTAATCTATGTGAATAAAATTGACAATGAATGCATTTCCCTTGTAATACATATTTATGTTGTGTAACGTATACCCATGATTAGTAGATTGTATAATATACTGCAGATTTTATCATTTCAGTTTATTAACAGTATATTATGTACTCAAAAAAAAAAAGAAATAGGATAGAATTAAATAAATTCTACTAAAGGAATTATACATTACATTCTATATTGTACAAAGTTCTATTATTGGATGACTCAGTCCATAAACGCCAAACAGTAATGACTAATATTATTATTCTATCCTTTTCTTTTTTTTAATTTATCACTTATTCTAATCGCATAAGTTATTAATATCATTTTAAATATTATAATTAAATTTGATGAATATATATTCTTTATACAAGGTGTCCTATAACTAATGGTACAAGCGAATAAGGGGTGATTCTATATAAAAAGCTGAATTGAAAGTGTAAAACAAAATTAATTTATATAAAGGTTTATTTTTGAGAAAAATAAGTTTGAAAATTGGTTGAGTATGTATGCATACATGCATGCAACTGTTTCAGTTTTAGCTCAACAGATTTGACTATCTTTCTTTTGGGTATTTCGGAAAGCATTCTTGTACTTCTTAATATGTTTACAAACGTTGTCAGTACGATAATATCTGTTGTATCTGTTCTACTTTTACGCTTATCGGACAAAGCTTTTAGTTTCTAAGGTTTCAAGTTCAGTTAAGTGCATATGTACTTGACCAATTTTCAAATTTATCTTTTTCGAGAAAAAAATTTCATAGAAACTAATTTTATTCTACATTTTCGACTTAGTTTTTTCACGTAGAATCACCACTGTTTGCTTATACCATCAGTTATAGGACACCTTATATTATATATAAATTATATTGGGTCTTCATATTTTGCATCGAGTTTTCTACTAATGTACTGACCTTGCTCAATTTTTGATTCTGTATTATTAGCTAACAGAAGAAACGTTAGGTACATCCGAGAAAACTGAATTAGATGCACATTTAGAACATCTCGCTGAAAGGGCAAATGCAACTAAAACGTGGACAGAAAAAGTTCTCAGGAATATGGAAGCTGTACTTACTCCTAATCCAGGTATAAAACAATTAATTAAAAAGTTACAAAAAATAATAAAACAATAAATAAATGATAATGTGTGTTTATTTTATTTTAGGAAATAGAATTGAGGATTTCTTTTATGAAAAAATTGATAAAAAGAAACCCAACAGACTTAGCAATCTCGAATATGTAGGCATCGATATGATAGAAGCTGGAAATGATTTTGGTCCTGGTATCGCTTATGGTACGTACAATATCTATTGTTAATTAATTTAAATAATTTGATTAGAGTTAAATATTTTTCTTATTCGTATAATTTATTGTAGGTAGCTCTTTGATAAAAGTAGGTCAGTGTCAACAAAAATTAGGTCAAATCGAAAGAGATTTTATTGGAATTGCAGCCAATTGTTATATACAACCGTTAAGAAAGTTTTTAGACGGAGAAATGAAAACTGTTAGCAAGGAGATGGCTATATTAGAAATTAAGAGGTAATATTAAAATTATATTGTTCAATTAATAGAATATTTCTTATTATATATAAGAATGCTACTATGTTTAGGTTGGATTTAGATGCATGTAAGAATCGAGTAAGGAAAGCCAGAAGCATGGTGGGCCAACAGAGTGTAAGTTCTATTACCGTTCGTTTAATTAATGCATTTTCTCTGTATGTTTATTCTGTGTTTTGTCCCGTACATTGCTGCATTTCATAGGACTCTGGCGTTTCACCCGAAGTATTACTCGATCAGGTATTAACGAAACGAAAAGTTCTGAAATATCTCGTTCTTGTGCAATGTGCTCTTCTTTTTTTTTTTTTTTTTTTTATTTTACTTTACTTTATTTTATTTTATTTTGATAGATTTACACATTGCAAACGAGTTGAAGTGATCATAGAAACGAAGCAAAACTAGGAACAGTATTTTTTTAATATTGAGAATTACCTACCTTTGTTTGTCTTCGATCCTGCAATTATTTGTCGTAACTTTTATTTAAATGTATTTTTTTATTTAAGAAGCAACACAAACGTTACATTTTATATTATTTCGGATTGAGACCATTTAAAAACTATATTTAACGTCTTTGAACTATCCCTTATTATTATTTCTTTTAATTGTTATATTCGTCTATATATGTTAGTTACACCACACACAAATACCTAAATGAGTGTAAAGCAATCATGCATGTATATATAAGTAAATTTAATATAATATTTATTCGTAAATGTTTTATAGCTAATATAATGATACTATATAGTATTTAAGCAACAATTTTCAATTATTTTATTAAAATATTGAACTCCTTGCACTATGATTTAATGCAGAAAGCTGTGTATTGTATTCGGTTGTATATTTCGTATTTCTTATATTTGACTAGTAAAAATTTATCATAAATAGGATTCGTGTTTGTGTTGTAAAGCATATCAAGTGTCTTATACGTTGTTATATAGTGCGAGGGGTTAAATAAAATATTTAAATAAGACATTAAAATAATATAAAGAAAGAAATGAAACTTGAATATTACTAAACTTAGGCAGAGAGGGAGCTGAGGGTGGCACAATCGGAATTTGATCGGCAAGCAGAAATCGCGAAGCTACTTTTAGAAGGAGTATCTAGTTCCCAAGCTGGACATTTGAGATGTTTACACGAATTCGTGGAAGCACAAGCACGTCATTACGCGCAATGTCATGCGACTATGCAAGAATTGCAACGTGAACTTGCCGGGTAAGTTAATTTATTTTCATTATTTATGTTAGCAGTGTGTCTTTTGGTTTTCCCGCACAACAACCCTTGCAGTACACAAATTCAATCTTTTCTGTACAGCTATCCTACTCTTTGGTGATCCGAGTGAGTAATGTCTATTAAACTTAGACTATTACCATTCCTAAGAAAAGCTTTAGAACCATTACTCATTCGTTAAGATCATCGTATTTTATAGTTAGAACAATTGGTAATTATTGTGCTAAGCTTTTAATATTATTTTCTCCAAGAAGAATTATTATGAAAATAATTCTAGTCTCGTCTTCTTGGAAAAATAAAGCTACAAATGTTTATTATGTGTAAATATTAAAATATCTTACAAAATATCTCTCTTATCGATTAATGTTCGTATATTCTTCTTTATACATCTATTATTACAATTTTGGTGCAAAACTATTTCTAACATTAACATGATTCGATAGCTCAATGTTGTCACCGATTTTTGCAGATTTATTGGTAGTGATGAATTAAATTACTTTTCCGCTATTAAATCCTATATCCCGCTTTTTCTATTTCTATCTTTTTCTAATATTCTATTTTCCACTTTCTATCTTTGCTTGCATGGTGGGGATTATGCAGGGCACGTCAGCCGAGTCCTTTGCTGAGAGTCAACAGCGAGGAAGTGATCGAGCTAACACCCTCACCCACTCCATCCCAAAATCTCTCTATAAATAATGCTCTCGCTGATTCAACGTATGTTACCGCTACCTTTGACACTGACATATCTAAAATTTAGTTTTACATTATGATACTACTTCTTAAAATGGGTTAATGATCTCCTAATAAATCTATGAAGAGTTATTATATTAAACGATACGCTCTCTCTTCACTGTTGATCGAACAGATAGCTGTTAAATATTACATAATCACTTTACAAAATATATTTAAAAGGTTGAATTTTTTCAAATTGTTGAATTAAACTTGTTAGTAAATATCAGCAAATAAAAATACGTTTACAACGAAATTCTATATATTTTCTGTCAAACGTCTGGGAAGAAGATAACTTTGTATAGCTCAAATACTATCTTTCCTCGAATTATAAAATTTCATTGTCTATGTCTAAATCTTTTCACAAATTTATATTACGACATTACATTACATCGTACATCAACAGTACAATTATCTGTTAACAGAATTAATTTTTTTTATATATATTTATCTTCTAAGCAATGCATTATTATCACGCTTTACTTCATAACAATTAATTTACTGCATTTATTTTAATTATAATAATTTGAAAGGTGTGCTTGTTTTTATACATTAACGATATATTTCATGTAAGCTTAAGTGTTATATTTAGAATATATCTATGTTACATTACTTCGTCTTTATTATTCGTATAAGTGCAATGTTCACGCTTCTCGCGTGTTTGTCACACAAATTATTTAACTCGTAGTGTAAGATATTATTGTACACCATTATTCTTTCTTTATTTATTTGAGGGAAAATGAGGTTCATTTTATAATTTATCCCTTTCTATGTATTTTTCTTGAACAAGATGAGATCCAAATTGACAGAACACCGATATTTTAAAATTCAACACAATTATAAGGGTTCATTAGGATAACACACAAAACCAATTTGTTTCAAATGGATAAAATATACTGGTATATAAGAATGCATGTGAAATTTTTTCTTTCATTTTTTTGAAACGTTTAATTATTGGTTCTTACTGCTTGCACGGTGCATTATTCTGATGAACTCCTAGAACTGTGTAGAATTTAAAAGAAATCTGTGTCTTTTCAACTTGTTTCTCCTCTTATAAGTGTAATCATCAAATTCATCCTATTATAATTTATCCTACCCAGCTTAACTGGGGGTCCCTATTACTCGACCGCCTCAACAAATCCTACTGCACAAGTGGAAAATGGTCAAGATCGTGCAAGAGTAGTCTGTGATTATGATGCTAGGGATTCAACCGAACTTAGTGTCATGCAAGACGAGGTAACCAAATTTGTGATTTAGGTAGATGACAGCATGCGTTCCATGTATCCATAAACAAGGCATGATATTCGTCCGAACTGTAAGTTTAATTTCTGTTATTTTCATTAGATATTCAAGTTCATATGCACATAAGTGTATTTAAAAGATTTTGTTTCCTGTTTATTCAATTAGTTCAATTATTTTATACATTAATTTGTATAATTAACTTAACACGTTAGTTATTGTGTCACATATAATGAGTTATCAGTAAATGAACAATTCAAGTAACGAATGATTTCCATTGGAAGCCTAGCATCGTATATTTGTGACAGTAATCAATGTAAAAAATAAGTTATGAGTTATGTTTGGAATCTCTTCTATATGGTTCGGTAGCGAACGTGTTAAGATAATTTATTTTAATTATTGAACATCATATTTTATTATATTATATATAATTTATTACTTTTATTTCTAGGTTACACTATAATCAAGTTTATAAAAAATAATATAAGAAGTTCCATGTAATACTCAAATGGAAGTGATCTAGGATAATAAATTTCTATTGTAGGAGAATTGGCATTATACTTATCATGCGAATAGATGCATGAAAAAATAATATTAATTAACTTTTAAATAGATATATTAAATAGATTTTATAAAAATATATATATAGATAGAGTAACGAATAATTTTTTATATTTTTGTTAAAGAAAGTCGTAATATTCTCAGTCTGTTTATTATTTTTCTGTATATTTTGTTCATTAGAATTATTAATATTAATTATATCATATACACGTTTATTCGTTTAATTGTATATTTATTCATATTTTGCATGTTAAATAAATACTTATAATTTGATTTAATATTAAGGTTTTATATTTTTCCTCGTTTTTGGTTATCGTCTTCCAGAATATAGTCGTACATAAATAAATTGCTAATTAATTCCTCCTACTATAATAACGTGTGGGAAATCTAGCACGAAGTTTTGTACGTTAAGTCATAATGCGAGGGATTTAAAAACGTGATCTAAACACACGTAATTAATAAAAGTGTAGTCTTTCATTTATCATCTATTTTTATTAACTATGCAATACATGTTTTATTATATTTATAGGTAATTTCCATTGTGGAAATTCCTGGAGACGAAGATTATTTAATTGGGATCAGAGGAAATCAACGAGGAAGAGTACCTAAGGCATATCTTGAAACTATTGTTAGTTATTAAGTGAAAAAAAAGTTTAAAAAATTCAAATTTGTCATTCTCACAACTGCCTTAGGGAAAAATATTCTTTACAAATTTTACAGACACGCGCACACACACACACACACACACACACACATATATATATATATATAAAATTTACGATAGAAGTTCAAGAAAATTTCTTTACTTAGAGTTGCGATTTGAATAAATACAAATAATATATCCTAATAATTCAATTATATAAAAATCAATTATTAAATTATTACTGTTATGCTAGAGAGATCGTTGAAAATTTGGTGTGTGCCTTCGCTAAACGTTGTTAACGAAGATATTGTTCTAAAGTTAAATAATGTTAACTTTAATGAATTTTATCAAATCCACATTTAAAGATATGAATTAAAACCTATGCATTTAACTATTATCTATATTCCATTAAAATACGCTTTAAAACGTTCGCTACTTGCGTCACGTATTTATTATAATGCATTGATTTTCATCAAGAGGCTTGCAAAAAACATTTATTACAGCAATAAATATGAAAATTAAGTTTCAAATTATAATTGAAATTTCTTCTCCATGACGAGTGTTGATAGCGAACGAGTTAAATAATATTATTAAAAATTGTACAGTCAATGTTTTACTTCCCACCAAATTAATGTAATTAAGAAAAATAAAAAACACAGGTAATTAATTTTTAGTATTTATTAATAATATAATACATATATAAAATTACTTCTTCTTGGATACACCAACAGTGCGACCACGTCTGCCAGTAGTCTTGGTGTGTTGACCACGTACACGTAAGCCCCAATAATGACGTAAACCTCTGTGAGCACGAATTTTCTTCATGCGTTCTAAATCATCACGAAGTTTGGAATCTAAATTGGCGCTAGTAAGCTAAAAGAAAAAAAAGAAAAAGTTAATTTGATATTTAGTTTAAAATTCTATAAAGCGAAACGATGTTATAATTGTACAAATGTGGTGCATAGATTTCATATTTGCATTTAAAAATAAATACAAATAAATGTGTTTACATATGCACAGTTAATTTTGCACAACAAACTAACCGAATAAGTATGATTGTTTACACTATTGGTCGTGTAATTGTGCATGCAGTATTGAGTTTTAGAATTTTAAATAATTGTACTGTACCTGGGTGTACTTTCCATCGACAATATCTTTTTGTCTATTTAAAAACCAGTCAGGAATTTTGTATTGTCTGGGATTAGCCATAATTGTAACAATTTTTTCGACCTATAAACACAATGTTTATATGTTAAATATTGAATTATGGTAGAGATAATATTCATGTTACAAGATTATTCTTTTTTTTTTTACCTCCTCTTCTGAACATTCTCCTGCACGTTTGTTTAAGTCGATGTCAGCTTTTTTTAGAACGATATTGGCGTAACGACGACCTACACCCTTGATGGCCGTCATCGCAAACATGACCTTCCTGTTACCGTCGATATTCGTGCCCATGACACGAAGAATGTGTTGAAACTTCTCAGGAATGACTAGTGACTACATATTAAAAAGATAAACAATTAAATTCATAAAATCAAATAAATACAAAATCAACTTATTAGTAGGCCACTAAAAAACTCGTATATGGAATAAACGTAAGAAAACCTATAAATTAAATAGAAACAATAATGAAATAAACGTAAATAGTTGATATTATGTGAACACTACGATCATTCACGACTGTGAGTCGAAAAATAACCTATCCTTTTATATTTTACCATTTTCTCATAAAATTCAAAAATATCGTCAGTAGAAATTATATCATTTGATTCTAAATAATAGTCGTAAAAATATTTATGCACTTTCGTCCAGATTCTTATAATAAATTTCGATTTTTATCATAAAATGTTAAATAACTCACCATCTTGCTAACTTAGCGAGAGCTATAAAGAGTTTAAACAGGAAATGAAACTTGGGTTCTCGAGAATATATCGAAAAACTATCGAATATCGAAAACTATCGATTTTCTAAGAAAAAAATTTAATTTTTGATTTTAATCAATTTTATAGACATTACTTTTTGATAGAGAATTATTCAATTGTAATTATAAATTAATATTGTATTTTAATAAAGTTTTATTATGTATTTATATTATAATTTTTAAATATATGAAATGTGCAATGATGACATTCTGAGCGCCATCTGTGTGATCGTTGCACAATTATATTTTTTACCGACCAAGTTTAACCAGACAAGTATGCTATCTACCGGTAAAAATAAGAATTAGAAAACATCCCTTAATTAACAAGGTCTATAATAATTTATTAATGATAATAGTATCAATTAATTTTTTAAATAAAGATATCTATGCTTTTTAAAATAAGATATTAAAAACGATTAAGTCATATAATTTCAATAAATTATTTGCATATATGGAAAGTATTGTTCAAATGTATTAAATAATTTCATCGTGAATGAAATAAAAAAATATTGCATTAAGAGTTTCGCATGAGTTAAGATAAGTCGTCGTGAGGGACAACTAGGATGACAATATATGTAGTCTACACCTAGGTCGAGCTCATCTTCTCGCGCAGTCGTAAACCTTCGAACGACGCCCTTAAAAACTATGGAAGGTGGTAGTCAGCAGTGATAGAAGAACTGTATCTCCTGTTAAATTCCAGCTCTATTGTTATTCCCGCTGTTCTTTATTGACAATACGAATAACGAAGAAAAATAAAAGACAAGTTACTACTAAAACGAGCAAGTACGATTCTGCATAATGTGGAGGAATCTTATTTTCTCTTAATAAAAACATTCACGTAGACCACCAAGAGCCGAGAACGTGCAGAAATAACTTCAAATATTTTACGAATGCAAAACTTGATTTGTTTAAAAAAAACATCGAAGATAATCAAATTTGTTTTGTCTTCTTGATTTTACTTTTAAATTTTAACATAGATTTATTATATTTTTAATAAATCGATAGCAATCAAATCTCAAAATTTATTTACAATTTTATCCTCGTAGATTTTTTATTTCTTATTATCTCTCTTTTTTTTTTCTTTTTTTTTTTTTTTAGATTGTTCTAATACTATGAAATTTATTGCACGTACAATTCGATAAGAATTTGATAACTCGAAAGCAATCGCGTTCGTAGGAAAGTGGGAGGTGCGATTTCTTGCCGGTTGGTTCTCCGAAATTTTCATCCCTTCTTCATCCCGGTTACGGGAAGAGGAAGGAGGAATGATCGTCCAGAGGGTAATCCGGCGAAGAAATTTCAAGGCATGATCCCCCTCTGATTCGTTTTACGGCAGTCGTTCTCTCGAATTAGGACGGAATAAGAAAGAAACCGTGAACATGTTGAATCCGAAGGAATAACTTGCTTGCTTGCTTCTTCTTCTTCTTCGTGCATTTTCTCTTATTTGAAGACGAAATAATTATATTTCTACAAATCGTATAGAAATCAGATATAAAAAAATAAAATTGATTGTAATATTATTAAATAGGTAATAAATCAAAATAGGTTGGCAAATTATACCCTCGTAAAAATATTTTTATTTGCAATCGCATTAATTTTGATTTTTCTTTTTTCATTTTGACAAGATCATCAACAATCGAATGATTTAAGTTTTTTTTTTTTTAATGACGCGTCTCCCAAAAACATGATTTATCATACTTTAAGTAATGCCCTATTACGAGGGAGCTGTTCACTATATTATTGATAGTTGCCGCCTTAAATAGGATTATCTGACGGATTTACAAGTAACTGTTCGACACATGCTAACGTTTCGGAAAAATAATATATCTCGTGTAGATACCAAATGGGATATTTTTAAGTAACCAAATAAAATAGAAATACGACGTCTATTTGTCAAAAAATTCAACATCACGTTGGCTAGCTGAGAGAGACAATATATATATATATATATAATATAGTCATTGTTGTTCAGGTCAAGTTTGACCTTCGCAGCGGTAAGATGTTCAAAGTAAAACGTCGTTTACAACCAATAATGCAAGTTAATAGCTAGGCATGACGAAATCATTCAAAAGTTTTCTGACCATCTAGCTGAAGAAACTTGGAGTTGTCGACTTCCAGCATTGCTACCAGGTATAGAAATAAAATCTCCCATAGGGTGCGACTTCCCGAGGGAACTACTCCGAGAATGAAAATGTTTATATTTCGATACTTTTCTAATAGTAATATTTACAGTATCAATATTATTCGTTTATATATTCATATATATAATAATTGAAGTTAATTAACTAATCAAACAAATAATCGAATATTTTCAACTCATTTTTCAAGCCAATCCTCTCGATTATCCCCTTTTTAGAAAGTTATATCCCCTTCCCCCCCTCCTGAAAGAATGCTAAACCGAGTGATTTCACTTCTCGCAGTGGGGATCATCGCGATTGTCATGGTGACATCATGTATATCCGTTACATATGGAACATTCGTGTTTATTATTTTGTGGGGTGCCAACATGCGTGTCCTTGTGTTACACTTGCCAGCCAGAAGGGTAAATCCGTACCTGCTGTCAGTAAATAAGAGAACGAGTCGCTAAGGGGTTTAACGGGGGATGAAAGGGTTGCGCGAAGAAATTAATCGAGCGTAGAACAATGGCTTGCTTGGCCGAATAATTCGAATGGATTATTACACGAGGGATGTTGTAACATCCGAAGAAAATATATTTTTAACCGATTTAATCGTTTTATTTTTTCTACAGAATGAAAAATAATAAACGATCTCTCGATAAATCTCTCTTTTTGATATTATTTATTCATTAAAATATAATTCGATCACATAAATTGGTCGAATGAATATACGCTGCTATAAACACGAGTTCTTTATAAAAAAAAAAAAAAATAAAAATTACAGAAACTATCGAATAAAATTCTGATGGCTTGTGTAGGATAGACTCTTCCGTTCTTTTTTTTTTATTTTTTAATGAAGAGAAACTTGTGGTCTAAAAGAAAAATGGCGTCCAACGTACATATGTAAAAGGAACAATAGAAATATATGAAGGAAGAAAACGAGCGGATTTATCTATGGGATTACCTGGACAAATATTTATGTAGAGAATCCTATGGGACAGAATAGGATCATCAAATTCCAATGACAAAACTACTACTCTTCTCGTTGACTGCAACCCCTCGACCTTTAGAAGAGAAAGGGGGAGGGGGGAGAGAGAGAGAGAGAGCTTCGACACTCGCATATGCCGAGTATTTTCACTGGGCTCGCGATAATTGGTCGATGGTTTTTTTTTTCTTTTCTTTTCTTTCGAAGGGTCCGATCACTCCCTCTATTTTTATTTTTTCATTTTCTTAATCCCAGCACTGATTTTGATCGATGATGATACCTTCCTTATGGCTTTTATCGAACGTTTCACTCTAGTCGGACCTGTAACATCGTTATTCCCTTATGGAGAATCGAATAGAAGAAAAAAAAACCTGTCGCGATCGATAACCTTATTCCCCGTTCCCCCCCCCCTCTTTCCCATTTAAAAAGTCAATTATCGAAGTAGAATAGGAAAGAAAAAAAGAAGAGGTATTGAAAATCGTCGATAGACAAAATTAAATCGGATGAGGAAAGAGAATAATCAAAATCAATGGCGTGGGGGTGGACGTGGGGGTGGTTGTACAGCAGTGGGAGGCTGGTTACAGAATAGGTGAGTAACTAAATAATACGAGTGTGTAGACCGATCCGAATTCAAGAGAAAATATAAATGAGTTTATTTATAAAAATGACGTAAAAAGAAAAAGAAGGAACCACAAGAGAGATTTCCAGGGCCGTATAACATTGTTGTTTTTATTTTTCTTTTTTTTTCTTTTCTTTTTCTTTTCTTTTCGCAACCTTATCTTTTCCCATCCGCAATTTCTTGATACGCTTCCAAAGGGAAAGGCAGAGAGGAGTTGCCTTTGATAAATAGGCCGCTATACCTTATGAATGCTTGATGATGGCATTTCACGAGGCTCCTCATCCACCCTTACCGCATTCGAGGCGAACGTTCTGCTTCGTCCCAACGGTGATAGGCGATGAGTCTTCCTTCTCTCTTTCTCTTTCTCTCTCTTTTTCACTCTTTCTCCTTTCATACTCCCTCTCCTCGTCTTTACCAACCTTCTATCTTACTACCCTTCCTTCTCCACCTTCGCACGACTTCCAACCACCAATGAACGATGAGCTTCAAGATCCCTGATACGTTCTTTTCACCTTCAATAACGTCTAACATCTCTGTTGATAGAAAAACCCCTTTATATTTTTTAACACAAAAATAATATCTACCATTTCACACCATTATATATTTTTCTCTTCTCCTCCACCCCCCCTCCTAACTTTTTTTAAAAATACAAATAAATATCGATTACGCGTGGATGAGATTTTTCTTTCTTTCTTTCTTTCTTTTTAATAAAATATATTCGATTATCTTTTTTTTTTTTTCACACGCGAATTCGAGAAAAGAAATATAAAAGATATACGTTCGCGAGTTTAATTCGATTAATCGAACAAAACAAATTAACGTAGGTTATTTATTAATTTAAGAAATAAAAAAGGGGTACAGGATTATAAGGGCGAGGTGAGGTGAGATGGGTGGAGGTTCGCGGAGGAGGAAAAAAATCGAATATCCTTTCTTATTCTTGGGGCATTCGTCTCTTCTGTCTTTGTTTCCTGTCCTCCACCCTTAACACCTTGCCACCGCCAATCGGATGCTGCGCGAAAGAGGAGGAGCGGCAAAAGCGAAAAGCTCCCCCACCATTTGGCAGAGCCTCCCTTCTTTACCTTCTCTCCTTTGGTCTCATCTCTCTCGTTTCGGTTCCCCCTTCACCCCATAACCCCTGCCCCAGCCCCTTGCCCCCCCTCACGAAGTATTGACCCGATATCTTCTTCCTCACTCTCTTGTGCTTTCTCCTCTCCTCTCCTCACCTCACCTCACCTCACCTCACCTCTTTTCCCCCCTTCGTCTCCGTAGAAGCTGCTACTGGTACTGCTGCTCTT